TAGGACCTTTGCAAAGACTCTCATTTGAGCCTTTTAACCCCATGAAACATGTTATCATGGCAAAGTGGTTGCAGGAAGGCTCCAGTTTTCCTAACAACGGGGGTACCACCATGTGGTCTGGGGACCTTCGGTAGAGTCTGTCTCCCTTCTCCCTGGTTGGTTTAATCTTCCAAGTGGAAGTGAGGTAGGGCAATAGATGCAGAACATACAGCTCAGCTAGACACAGTGGTCTGTAGTGTGCACTGTAGACGAGGCATGGCTGCCATGTGCCAGTCACTTTCAGTGTGGAAGGGGGTGGATTTTTAAAAGGAACATTTTCCAGAGCTTTTCAGCCATTGGCTGGATGAGGGAATATGAACCACACTGGGTGTGGTAGTTTGAATGTAAGTAGCCCCTATAATCTCATAGGGGATGACACCACTAGGAGGTGTGGTTTGGTGGAGTGGGTTTGTTGGAGAAGTGTGTCACTGTGGGATCAGACTTTGAGGTCTCCTATGCTCAGGTGACCACCCAGGGTTTGTCAACTTCCTATTGCATGCAAGCCAAGATGTAGCCAGCACCATGTCTGTCTGCATGCCACCATGCTCCCCATCATAATGATAATGGACTGAACCTCTACAACTGTAAGATGCCACCTCAATTAAATGTTTTCCTTATAAGAGTTGTTATGGTCATGGTGTCTCTTTACAGCAATAAAAAACCCTAAGAGAGAAGTTGATGCCAGGGAATGAGTATTGCTGTGGCAGGCCTGACCATGTTCTTGTTTGGAGTAATATGGACTTTGGAAGTGTGGGTTAGGAAAGCAGTGAGATGCTTTAAGCACTGTTTAATGGGCCACACTTACAGGAGCACAGGAGACAGTGGCGCTGAGTGATTTGATGCACTGTGGAGACCAAGATGTCTCAGAGAAGAATGTTACCATGTGGTCTAGAGACTGGTCTTTTCATATTCTGGTGAAAAAAGTGGCTGCTATTTGCCCTTGTCTGAAGAGTCTGCCTGAGGCTAAAGTGAAGTGTTGCGTTAATTCCATTGACAGAGGCAATCTCAAAACAGCCTAGTATATGTAGACTCTTGTGTGGTAATCAGTGGTAACTCTAAGGGAGATTCGTAATGAAAAGGAGCTCACTGTGCAGGGTAACTTACAAAATATAAAACTGAAGGAGAAAAAGAGCACCAGGAAGTAGAATGGAGCCAAATCCTGTGTTCAGGGAGAGAGAAAAAAGTGGGCAAAAGGGAGTGACGACCTCAAGGCAAGAGCCCACCCAGCTAAGTTTCCAACTTTTGGAAAGAAACTGAAGAGAACCTTAGAGCTGAGTGTGGTGGGGCACACCTTTAATCCCAACACTAAGAAGGCAGAAGCTGGAGGTTCTCTAACTGTTTGAAGCCAGCCCGAGTTTCAGGACAGTCAAGCTTAGGTAGTAAAAGACAGAATGCTGGCAACGATGCAATTGAATGAGGGGGCCATGTTCCAGCCCCAGTAAGCAGTGGGAGTTGGGACTTGGCAGTTTCGGCCACACAGTTCTGGCTTTACAGTTATGGACAGAAGAAATGAGTTATAGAATTTGCTTCCAGGGGAGAACATGAGAGAGCAGAAAGATTGGGTTGGGGGAAAGAATAGAGGAGAACAAGGAAAGAGGTATCTTAATAGAGGGAGTCATTGTAGGTTTAAAGAGAAATCTGGCACTAGGGAAATGTCTGGCTATCTACAAGGATAACTCCAACTAACAATCTAAGCAATAGTGAAGAGGCTACCTTAAATGACCTTCCCTTATAATGAGATTGATGACTACCTTATATGCCATCCTAGAGCCTTCATCTAGTAGCTGATGGAAACAGAAGCACAGCTAAACACTAGCTGAACTCCTGGAATCCAGTTGCAGAGGGAGAAGGGATGAGCAAAAGGGTCAAGACCAGGCTGGAGAAGCCCACAGGAACAGCTGACCTGAACAAGGGAGAGCTCATGGTCTCCAGTCTGACAGCTGGGGAACCAACATAGGACCGACCAACGCCCCCTGAATGTGAGTGTCAGTTAGGAGGCCTGGGCAGTCTATGGGGCCCGTTAGTAAATCAGTATTTATCCCTAGTATACGAATGGACTTTGGGAGCCCATCCCACATGGAGGGATACTCTCTCAGCCTAGACACACAGGACGATGATCCCCCATGGAAGGCTTCGCCCTCCCTTCAAGCAGAAAGAGGATGGGAGTGTTGGCAGGGACCAGAGGAGGATGGGAGGGAGAGGGAACTGGGATTGATATGTAAAACAAGATTGTTTCTAATTTAAATAAATACATTAATAATAATAATAAATATAAATAATATATATTATATATATAATAAATATAAATAAATAATAAAAAAATAATAATAAAAGAATTTGCCTCCATGCCTAAAGAAAGTATCTGAGGCCAGGCATGTGTCAGGGGTGTCCCTGAATGGAGTCTTAATAGAGGCCACTGGGTGAAGCTGTGAAGTTGAAGCCTGGGTTACCTTGAAGACCCCAAGCTATTAGAGATGCCAGAGTTGTGAGACACGGGCTGAGGAGAGCTGCTAACAGGGAGTGGAGCCAGCTCAAGATGAGGAAATGTGTTGCCAACAAAGCTGAATGGAATTGGGAGCATTTTGACATCAGACACGAAGATGCAGAGTTTGGATTTGGCCTACCTGGTTTTCGGTCTTTCTTTGGTCCAGTATGTCCTCACTGTACTCCCTTCCCTACATTATGGAATGGTAATATACATTCTGTGACATTACATATTGGAAGTATGTGGTCTGCTTTTTGCTTTTGATTTTTGTAGGGGATTGCAGTTAAGAGATTGCATAAGTCTCAGAAGATACTTTGAACTTTTAAACACTGTTGAAACTATGGTAGACATGTTGGACTACATGTATTTTGTGTTACGATATTGCTACAAGCTTATGGGGGCCAGGAGAGGAATGTGGTAGTTTGAATGTAATTACTCCCCTTAATATCATAGGGAGCGGCACTATTAGGAGATATGGCTTTGATAGAGCGAGTATGGCATTGTTGGAGAAGTGTGTCACTGTTTGAGGACTTTGAGGTTTCCTATGCTCAAGATACTGCCCAGTGTGTTAGTTGACTTCCTGTTACCTGCAAGCCAAGATGTAGCCAGTACCATGTCTGTCTGCATGCCAACATGCTCCCTGTCGTGCTGACAATGGACTGAACCTCTGAAACTGTAAGTGGGCCACCCCAATTAAATGACCTCCTTATAAGAGTTGCCGTGATCATGGTGTCTATTCACAGCAACAGAAATCCTAAGGCACTGGGAGAGAGAAAAGTTGGTTTAGGGTATGACTTCTGCTGAGTCGACAATGATCCAATAGTATGTATGTATGTGTGTGTGTATATATATATATATACACACACACACACACACAGTCACAAAAGAAAGGAAGGAAGGAGGGAGAAAAGGAGGGAGGGAAAGAGAGGGAAAGGAAAAGAGAGAGGAAAAGGAAGCTTGATTAAGTTAAAAACAAAAAAGCAAGTTCCAGCAATATGCTGCCAGAGATTCCTATTAAAGGACAGAAAGAAAGAAAAAAGAAAAAAAAAAAAAAAAAAAAAAAAACTATTGGTAAAAAGATACTGAGCCACCAGGTATTGGTGGCACCTGCCTTTAATTCCAGCACTCGGGAAGCAGATGGATCTCTGGTATACAGAGGGAGTTCTAGGACAGGTTCCAAAGTAATTCAGAGAAACTCTGTCTCAAAAGACAAAAACAAAACAAAACAAACAAAGACAAAAAACAAAACAAAACAAAAAAAAAAGAGTTGAAGTAGATACAGTTATTACAGTGAAATTAACTTTAAGATAAGAAATATTAAATTCAAAGAGTATCTTATAGTGGGAGATCAATACATTAGAGACAGGAGAGAAGTCCTAGACCCTACTTCAAATGACTTGACAGATTTACATGACCCCTCCTGGATGGCATCACCCTACATGGGGTGGGGGGATGGGAGGTACAGGTGGTCGGGGTGCATGTGAGGGGGCAGAGAGGGAAAGAGGGAGGGCGGGAGGGAAAGAAGGAACTGGGATTGATATGTAAAATAAAAACATTAAAAAAAAAAGAAACAACAAATATAAACAGACTCCTAACAACACATACATGACACAAAAATGACAGACCTGAAAGACAATGTAATGATTATAGACAGAAATTAACGTACCCCATTCCGTAGAAAATGTTATTTTATATATATATATATATATATATATATATATATATATATATATATATATGTCTGTATGTGCGTGTATGTCTGTGTGTGTGTGAGTGCTCATACACGCTCACAGAGGCCAAATGGTAGCTTTGGGTCCCCAGAGCTGGCATTAAACAGAGGTGAGAGCCACTGTTATGTGGGTGCTGAAAACTAAACTATAGTTCTCTGCCAGAAAAGCAAGCGCTCTAAAGCACTGAGCCCTCTCTGCAGCCCTCCATATTCCATGCTTACCAGAACAAAAGGCACACCTACCAGCACAGTCATGGTAGACCTGGTGATGGATGCCATTAACCAAAAGCCTAATGCATGTTGAACAGGAGCTATACTCTTGCCAGGTGAAAGGTACTCCCCCACAAGCCATAAAACCAGGCTCTATAAGAGAAATGGAATCATTCAAAGTATATTCTCCAGAAACAATGGAAAATATGGGAAAACTCTCTCTCTCTCTCTCTCTCTCTCTCTCTCTCTGTGTATGTGTGTGTGTGTGTGTGTGTGTGTTGGGGGCTGGTATTCCTAAATTCTTGGGAATAAAGTAACATATTTCCAAATAAGGCATAGATCAAAAAAACAAGTCACAAGGAAAAATCAGTGAAAACTAATATACAACATATTGATATTTATGAGTTGAGCTTAACACTACATCTGGCTGGTTATATACACAAGTAATCAGTCTGTATTTTTTGAGTCGATTTCAAGCATGATGTCAATGTACCATTTCTAGACTATTATAAACTACACAATAAATCATGACAAATCTACAGATTACACACAATTTTATTAAATACTTTAACACTGCAAAATAAGACAGCATATAAATATAAAAGTAGAGGGCTAGCAACTGAATTAATCACACAGAGGCAGATCACACAGCACATCATCCAGGCCCCCAAGATTAAGGCGACTCCAAACCTCAAGTAACTGCATGAGAAAACTTTACTCAGGTTCAGGGGTATCAGGCACACGAAAACTGACAGACCTCATAATTGATTTTCAGTATAAAGTATCCCCATTCATTTTTTGGGTAAATAGTATGATTCTTCTGAAATACGGCACATGATCAGTCTAGATTGGCAAACGGGCTATCAAAGCCACTATCTTGTTGGCTCATCGGGGGAGCAGCTAACTTTCTTAAAGGCTCCTGGCACGCTGAAGATGGCCCTGTGCCACTCAGTTTTCTGAGTTCTGGCTTTAACACATCAGGACTCTGCTGAGATGCACATCCCCGAGTCACACCCATCCTCCCTGCCTGGGAATGCAGGGTTTCTCTGGGCAGATCTGGAGCGTAGCCACTCCGACAAACCATATTACTACTTTTCTGGGCATCTGGAAGGCAACTGGTTGCTGAGAACTGTTTCAACTGAACAGAGTCCCCCAGCATCTCCTGAGTCCTTTGTGACCTCACAGCATGATTGCCACAGGGTGTTGTAGTGTCAGGAAACCAGCCTGGAGAACCACTAGGGGTCCCTCCATCCTTCTCGGGAGGGTCCTGAGTGCCCACACCCTGACTCTTCTCAGACTTGGCACTCTCGGTTTCTGTTAGAGAACCACACATAATTGCTTTGAGTCTTGGCACTTCACTGGGGCTTCTAAGCATTGTGTGCATGGATCCTGAGCTGCAGCTAGGTGAAGATTTCTTTTCAGCACTTCCGAAGAAAGGGGTAGCTGAATAAGGAAGTGGTTCAGAGCCAGCGCCACCGGGTGGGTCTTTCTTCTTGTGCAAATCAAAACTGCCTTCGCCCCTGTGTGGAACAAACTCAGGAGCAACATTCTTTGCCAAGATGTCTGGGGGCCTGCAACTCCCAATCCCACACTGACAGTTTGTAGGCGAAGCTGTGGAAGCCACAGGCTTTATCTCTCTGTGTTCTGGATCCTCTAATCGCCTCTGCAAATTTGATGCAGTCCTCCTCCTAGGAACTTGCTCACACACACTCCTGGGGACAGTTTTTCCACCGTTTAGTTTGCTTTCAATGTAATATTGAATATTCTGATCCACACCGCTCCTTTCTGATCTTTCGACACCAGTCAGCATCTCTGAAGTCAAGGGAAATGCTACTATGTGCAAAGGAACATAAAGTTAGCACAAGAATTAAAGAGAAAACACTTTAAAGAGAACAATTTGTTTATAATTGTGTGTATTATCAACGAAAATGCATCAGTGTGAGATAAGTAAAAACAGTCTCTTATGTCCACAGAAATGGCAGTGTTTGTGGCTGAAATGTCACACACTGTGCTGGCTAGCTTTATGTCGACTTGTCACAAGCTGGAGTCATCAGAGGAGGGAGCCCTGTTTTCAGCTATTCCGCCTTGTTTTATGTAGGTCCTACAACATTTTAAGAGCTGACTGCAATGCAATGTTGCTCTGAGTCTGGTGTCAAGCATGACGTTTCTCACAAAGTCCATTAGAACAAGCCCATCTCTCTAGTGCTCAGGACGAACAACCCTCAGTAAAAGCCTGGACACTGCACCAGATCAGGGAAAAGCAGCCACAGAATTGTGTCTGAGTAGTCACCTCCTAACCCTGAGTTGACTGACAGAAGCTGGTTCTCCTGGGGACATGATTTTCATGTGCATGCCCCCAAACATGCCATTGCCCTTTGTACCCCAAGTGCACCAATCCCAAACTCCCGCAAGTAATGCCTGTGACTATGAGAAACATTCTGGGTGCCTGAACAATCTCTGCTTCTGGGTGACCAGAAGATGAGAAGCTGAATTTCCACATAGGCATGTTAAGTGTATCTAATTGAGAAATAGCAATTTTCTTCTTGTATTTCTACCAGCGTTTATTTTTCAGACACCAAAGCCATGTTATACAGTTTCAGGGGAGATCGTCTCATCACCAGCCCCTTTAATGTATGCTCTACTTTGCCCACTTATGCATTTATGTTTAAATTCCAATAGCTCCATTTTCATCTCCTTGTTATCATTCTCTATTACCTTGAGTTCCTGTAAAAATAGCAAGTATCAGTATTTTGCAAAATCCTTACCTGATTCACAGTCAGTGGTTGCTGACGTTGCAACCTACTTTTAGTGCTCGTTTATGTTTGTCTTCTAGCTTTTCCTCTTTTTTGATTTTGTTTGACTATTTTTTTTTTCCTAAATCATTTTCCTCTAGTAGTTTGGAAGTCACACATTCATTTCTCCTTCTTGGCTTCCCTAAAGTTTCCATCTTTCTAAGTACATTCACTATACTTCTGGACATCTTCAGGGTCTGCTTTCTAATTATATTTTGCATTCTGTTAGCTTGATCTATACCTGTTTTTGCTTTCTTTCACGGTGGTGAGGTTCTTTACATATATAGTGACTCCTGGTTAAATGTTTATCTCTTAGGTATCTTGAATGCAGTGTCTGTCTGAGCTGCAAAGAGGCAGAAAGCTAACACTCTGAGAAGAGAGGCCAACAGGACATTCCTGATGTCCAGGCACCCAGCAATCTGCTCTGCTTCCATTCGGCCCAACACTAGGCTTGGGGAATGGGAAGGAGAAGGGGAGGGAAGAGAAAGGAACTGGAGAGGAGAAGGGAAGAAATAAACAACACCTCTACATGGGCGCTGTCTACACCACCAGTCATCATCCACTGGCACCATGGGCCGCTGCTTCTCCTGAGACATGTGATCGATCCCGAGTGTGAGACAGGTTTGCTGCTGCTCCTACTTGTGCTGTTTTAAGCTGAGGTTTCTTCCCATTTTCTCATAAATCCTACAGCCTCTGATCTATCAACTACAATGGCTCAAAATCCAGTTACAACTCAGCCTTTTTGTTCATGCTTTGACATTTAAAATCTTGTCCCCCACTGCTCAGGATGGATGCCGCAGTGGCAGTTGGTGAGGCTATGCAGTCTACCTGTTGAAACTGCAAACCAGCTTTCTCCCTTCTCCTTACCCCACGTACAACTTTATAACTCGGACTCCTTTTTCATACAGAGAAGACCAGATATCCGGACAAAGGGAGAACCCACCTGAGAGACCCGCCTGCGCACATCTCACTCTGCAGTCTGACTCTGCGATTGTTCCCAGCAGCTCTGCCATTGTAGCAAGTTTGCTAGCAGCATTCATAATCTTCTTCTCAGCTCTGTGGGGAGTTGCAGAATATAAAATCAAGACAGTTTAAATGGAACACCTGAGACTCCTCAGTCCCGGGACAGTTTCCTAATAGCCAACACTGAGGGAAACCCAGCCTAAACTACTTCTTGATCACATAGACGCTCAGTCCAGATGTAGACAGGACACACAGTACACACTGATCATATATATACATTTAGTTTTGTGGCTAAGGAAATGACAGCACACTGTCCTTCTTGGTGCAGTAGGGACATGCAGTGGTCACGGAACTCACCCTTCTTCCTTTCCATTATCCTGCAGGATCTGCTGAAGGCAAGTGAGATAATACTTGCGCATCTTCCGGGCGGTTTCCTGCCGTTCCCGCAACACTTCCGCCTTCACCATTTCTGCAGCTCTTTCTTTACTCTCCTGAATGTATCGAAGCATGTCACCTGCAGAGGGTGAAGAGACCCTCACAATTTCCACCATTTCTCCAAAGGCAGGAGGTGCAAACTCCACACCAGTGCAGATGAGGTGAAGGAAGCATAGTTTAAACGTTCTACTTTCCATGCTCTTTAGGACGGACCACTTCACAATGCCATTTTGGTGGACTCAAAAGAAAAGCACTGTTAGCCCTAAGGTGGTGATGGCTGCATGTGGGAAAACACGCTGTATTTTTGTTATGTTATAAAACCCTCAATGCAATGAGCAGGAAACATGTGTTCTATTGTACCTGATGATGCAAGTGAGAAAACAAACAAACAAAAACACCACCAGGAAGGAATGAGCAGGAAGGCAGACATTGGAAAGGAGGAGAATGAGCAGGAAGGCAGACATTGGAAAGGAGGAGAATGAGCAGGAAGGCAGACATTGGAAAGGAGGAGAATGAGCAGGAAGGCAGACATTGGAAAGGAGGAGAATGAGCAGGAAGGCAGACATTGGAAAGGAGGAGAATGAGCAGGAAGGCAGACATTGGAAAGGAGGAAGACCCACATTCTTCTCTTGTCCGTTCTTAGCCGGTGCTTTCAGTACTTCTTACGGACAGTAACCAACTCACAAGGGATGTCCAAGATGTTCTGCAGACTGGCAGAACCGTGCTCCCTTCTGAAAGTCACATAAAGTCACAATCCATACCGTTCTCTTCGCCAACATGGCCTTCTTTTGTACTACTATTGATTAAAGATAACTTTTAAAAACTGAATCTAGGACTATATTCTACATCGAGAACTTAGCCACTCTTCTGTTAGGAATGCCCACTCACATAGGAACCACCCTGTCAACGTCAGGAGACACCTGAAAATGGCATGTTCTGTGTACAAATACTAAATGGGGTCCACTGTACCTTCTTTGAGATGAGAAAATTAAAATGACGTTGCCACACAACCTCTACCTACCCTTCTAGTAACCTCAACTTAACATGTTTGCTATATCAGGATGGAAACTGCCCAATTTCCACTTCTCAGTGGAAGCCTGTAGGAGACGTTTGTTGTAACTATGCCCTCTGCTAGCACAAAGAACCACTGAGTCTCACCAATGACACTGATTGGCTTTTCAAATCTACAAGTGACTCTGACACCCAACAATTAGAATCTGAGACTTTCTTCCTGTCTTTTGTTTAAAAATGAAAGCAATTTTAGGAGGAAAGCCTGTCTTCTACATAAGCCCTGACTGCCATACTGAGACACACACCATGTCCTCCAGTTTTGTAGTTAAAAGGCAGGAGCCTTTACTATAGAAACTCCTGGAGATGCTCTACATAGTGGCTGACAAAGCCTTGACATACTGACTAGGTTCCTCCCCACAGTTCCTATGTGTACAGTAGGAATCTGACTTAGGTGACACACTGCCCTCCCTCGGCCCCTCCCTCTGTACAGCTGCAGAAGCTTGGCTTCTGAGCCATGCTTCAGTCTTCCCATGGCATGTTCTTTACTACATGTGATTCATGTTGTAAGGTTATTACACTTTAAGATAATTTGATTCTAATGTCTAAACAAAGACTGAAAAATGAAAACTAACAATATAAAAGTAACCACTCTTGGGAACTAGAGATGACTCAGTGGTTAAAAGCATTGGCTTCTCTTACAGGACCAGTCTTTGGTTCCTGGCATCCACACAATGGCCCATAACCATCCCTAACCCCAGTGCCAGGGGCTTTGACACCATATTCTGGCCTCCATAGGCAACAGGCATACACATGGTGCACAGACAAACCTGAGTACATATAAAATAAAAATAAATAATAGAAAAAATCTGGGTGGTAGTGATGCATGTCTTTAATCCCATCACTTGGGAGGCAGAGGCAGGTGGATTGCTATGAGTTTTTAAAGCCAGCCCAATCTACAGGGTGAGTTCTAGGTCAGCCAGGCACAGATAACCCTGTCTAGAACCCCCCCCCCCAAAAAAGACCTACTAGTATCACTTGGACAAACTAATCCATTGCTATGTAATTTTGAGATGGCATCTCTTCTAAGGCTGAAGAAAAAGGCAGTTTGGAAAACTTACTAAAAAGGTAAACCTTTTCACAACTGTGTAAAAGGCCTACACAAGCAAGGATCTTGAGAATCTCTGCAGGGACTTACGTTTAATTTTTTTAACTGCTTTAATGTACTGCCCACGGAGTTCTTCCAAGGCCTGCCTACTGCATGGCAGCCGTGCGGTCTCAATGGCTCCTTCAGACAGTGACCTAACAACAACAAAAACAGATTGTAAAACAACAGAGGCTGTAAGTAAAGGCGTCACTTGAAAAGGTTACATGAATTCCTACAATCTCATAAAACGACCTGAGATGTGTCCAGGGCTCCATACATTATCCAGTTATTTAATATAAAAGGAAGACCAGGGCAGAAACTCCATTGGTAGAGGGATTGCTCAGCATCATGAAATTCTGAGTTCCACCCCCAGACATCAGGAATCTTAGTACACATGTATAATCCCATCACTCACTGGACTGAGGCTGAAATTCAAGGTAATCTTGAGCTACATTTGATGCCAGCCTTGGGACACATTAACCTCATCTCAAAAACAAACAAACAAACAAAAAAGGAAATAACAAATCAACATTGTGATTGCCTAAGTAAGTACTGGCAAATTTACAGAAGAAAATGTACAGTTACTGAAGAGCATGTTGTAAGAGGTTCCTACTAACACTAATCTTACTAGTCTTCACTAATAATCTCCAAATCCTAACTTTTTGAACATCATACACATGGCATGTATATATAAACAGCCTAAGTGATATAAAACAATGGAATAATATAGTCTTTCCTGTGAATATATTTAATGTGAAGTAACACATTAAACACATTCAGGGTGACATTTCTACTAATATTTAAGTGCTTAGAAATGAAATGGTCTTAACTATAATGGTTTACCGTGGTGTCGATCTATAATGGGCCCTCAATGCTTCCAATTTATTCTTCATGTCATTGTTTTCTTCTATTAATTCTTCAACCACTTTGCTGTTCTCTTCTGTAATAGAAAGTCAGCATTAGTCTTCTGCCCCTCTCTTCCTTAAGTAACTACAAAAGTGCCTTCCTAGGGGGCTGCCGACTTTCCAGTTCTCTCCCATGTTATCATTCCCCAGTGAGCTCTGCACTGGACCTTCCCTTACACAGTCTTCTCAGCATTTAAAATCTATTTCATCTTCATCTCCACTGCACACACCCTGAAAATGGTGTCCAACCATCTGGTGTGTGTACTGAGCTTCTCAGCTAAGTTGAAGCTCTCCAGAATGTGATGGGAGATGTCATTCTGTAAGTATGTTTCTCATACTGGTTAATGAATAAAGCACTGTTGGCCAATAGGAAAGGAAGATAGGAGGGACAAGGAGACAAGGAGGAAAGAGGAAGTAGTAAGGAGGAGTCAGCATGGAGAGACGGGAGAGAACAGAATCGCCGGCCCCTGCTCTCCGGTAAGACCACATGGAAATACATAGAAATGGGTTAATAATTAAGACAGAGCTAGCCAATAAGAAACTAGTACCTGGCCAACAGCATTATATCAAATACAGAGTCTCGGTGTATTAATTGGGGCTGGCGCGGCAGCGGCAGCGGGACAAGATCGGTGGCGGGCGGAAAAACTACTCCTTACAAGAATGGCTCTGCTTTGGTTTTTTTTGCAGTGTTTCATCTGGAACTCAGTGTTGTTGTACATGTACATGTATGTAAGAATTCTGCCAGCAAGCTACATTGCCCACCAAGATCTAGGTTTTCTAATCCTATGCATGCTCAGCTCCTAGTATAGAGTTTATGCTCATAATAACCATCGTTGAGCAAGAATCTCATTAGAAAACAAAAAGAAAATAACCTAAAGTAGGTCCCATTCTTTTTAATAGCGTAAGGTGCTCAGGGGAGGCTGGCAGAGCCAAAGGGATAATGAGGGAGAAAGCACGCCTGCATGGAGAGTGCAAACCCAAGGTTAAGCACTAACTCAGTTTTCTGGCTGGATGGGCCTGAGCAAATTCCTCATCTCTCTAAGCCTGAGTTTGTCCCACATGTAAAAATGGCGAGAGTGTTACATATCTCAACAGATTACACACTAATAAAAACAACTCCTGGCACTATCAATGCTTGGTGACTGAACAAAGCCACCACATCAGCAGATTCTATGCATTAAGACACAAAAGCAGTGGACTTGGAAGCCATTCACACTTCTCTGTCACTCTTTGCTAGATGCTATCCAAAAAGAAACTTAAAAACAAATGAGCACAACTGCAGATTCCACATAATAGATTTGTAATAAGCTTGCAAATACAACTATCAAATGCCTTACTCAGATTCTGTTTCAATAGTCCACTGTTTCAAAAGAAGCACCATCTTTCTTGGAGCTTTTGGATAATTCAAAATATCAGCCTCACAAATCACTATGCAAAATAACTAAACCAGGCGTGGTGACCCGTGTCTTTAATCTCAGTGCTCAGGAGGCTGAAGCAAGTGGATCTCTGTGAATCAAGACTGGTTTAGTCTACAAAGTGAGTTCCAAGCCAGCCAGGGCTATACGATGAGATCCTGTCTCTAAATAGGTAAATAAAATAATTATTTTATGATCATGGTGTACTGTGTTGAATAGTACTATGTATAAATTACAACCACTGAAGAGGCTTAACAAGAGTTGCAATCCAATCCATTTTTAGCTCCCTTATAACAGTTAGACTAGCAGATAGGGAAGGAAGCAGAAAGGCTCGAGAGTGAGTGTCAACATTCAGGTAAGACTATAAGTGAAGTGAATGCTAAAAGTAAATGAAAGTACTTGCCTCCCCCACCCTAAACACACACACACACACACACACACACACACACACACACACACACACACACAATTATTTGAGACTCTAGCATTTGGCTGTTTAAAAAATTATTATTATTCATTCAAACATTTACTGTGCAGTATATTGTGGGTACTATGACTCTGAAGACAAATAAGGCACATCCTGTATCCTTTAAGAACAGTTTGGATGATAGAGTGCAGAACAGCAACAAAGAGAATGGAGAAACCCATGCAGAAATACAGCTGTGTCCACCTATCTCATTGGGAAAAATCAAAGACTTTGCAGATAGAATATTCTGTGAGTTAATTCTAAAGCATGAAAGTTAGACCAAAAAGTAAACCAAAGGGTCAAGTACACATGACAGAGTAAAAACACCATAGGCAAGGCTCAACAGTAAAGAAAACTGGAAACATTTCAAATGTATAGTCAAGAACACAGGGTTAAAAAAAGGACACAGGGTAGAGGTGAGTGGAGAAGAGGAGGGGGGAGGAGCCATGTCAGACCAACAGCTCCCTTCTTCAGGGGAGCTGAAGCAGGGGAGCAATGGGAAATGGCAGTGCATACCATGACATCATGTACAAATGGACCAGACGGAAGCTGGCCCAGACCTACAGGCTTTATTTGCTATTCCCACCTCCCAGGGCAAAGCCTGACTCGACAACCATTTCCATTTCCAGTCACAGAGCACTGCCTGACACACACTTCGGCCTTCAATGTCTCATCAATCAAAAAAGGGATGTTGAAGCTCCTCAATTTAATGAATAAATACAGGTCCAAACTGTATTCTATCAGTCCCACAAGAGCACTGGTGCCCACGTTAACATAAACGTTCCACATGAACATGTCAGCCAGGGCCTGCCAGCCTCCGAGAGCAGCAGTGAGCCTGAAACGCTAACCTCCAAGTGTCTCCACTGCAGCCTTGTGTGTCCTTTCTAAGTGCTGAAGGTGCCTACAGCACTTCTCCAGTCTCCTTCTCAGATCTCGGCACTCCTGCTTTTCTTTTTCAAGTTCTTGGAAGCAGTGTCCACAGCACAAATCTTTAATTTCATTGATATTTTTATCTGAAAAAAAAAAATTAAATGATACAAAACCTTTTTATAAAACTGGGTTACGGGCAAGCAAGAAAAAAAGAAACCCAGATGGCAGAACTCATGACCAAAGGCCACGGCATAATCGAAAGAACAGGATGCTCAAGAAAGGCCAGGTCTAACTCCCACCCCAGCACTTGCTGGCATGGCTACTTAGCCTCTCTAAGGCTTAATGTTTTGATACATAAAACTCAATAATGCCATCCAGTTTAAAATTGCTATGAAACCAATATCCAGATCTTAATATTGAATACCATTCTCCATAAAGAAAACTTTTTAAAAAAAAATTTTTAAAGAAATGGCTAACTTCAAAAGTAGAAGAAGTATATACAAATGAAACAGAAATATTTTGCCAAGCCAGAAAGTAAGAAAAGAACCAAACGTTATGAACATGGACCAAGAACACAGGTGATAATCTGAAAGGTCTCCCTAGATGATTCTGGGCAGTTTGAGTGATGATTAAATCCACTAATGAATTATAAAGTATTGAAAAACAAGATATGTGAATCACACAGTGACATGGATGGAGAGACAAACACTTGAATGGATGAACCAGCAAGGAAATATTTTTTTTTTTTTTCTTTTAACTATAAAAGCATGCTGAATGCCAACTGGTAAGAGTAGAGAGATGTTGGGTTGGAAAACTTATCATTTTGCAGCCAGGACAATAAAGACAATCAGGCAAGAATCACCAGTGGCCGCCATATCTAAAAGAAGGCTGTAAAGAGAAGGCTGTCTGCACAGTCCTCAAAGTGCCTCTCTGCAGACTGCTTATGGGCTACAGATAGAGGGAGGACACTAATTATACAGTGAGTAAACCGGACACAACTTTGACCAGGTGGTCAAATTTAACCTCACCAATAAAAGGAAAACAGACACTAAGCACTTCCAGTTGTGAACAGATACTACCAGTGTATCCTTCCGGCCAAGAAGACACAAGCATGAAGAACAGAAGATAGACCTCAAATGAATAAGTTCTGTTTTGAAAAAAGGGAGGCCTGCACCTTTCTGAACAGAAACAGAGGAGGAGTGGGTGGAGGGGGTGTTGGGGGATGGGCGGGGGAGGTAGCAAATGCAGGGGGGGGAATGTGGTCGGGATATAAAATTAATTAGATAAATAAAAAACAAACAAAAAGAATGAGGGGAAGAAAAGAAAGAATATTAGTTCTCAACATTTCAAAGTGAGAAAAGACAGACGCCATGGGAAAGCTTTATCAAAGGTGAATGAGTGTAGGACACACGGCAAATGGGCATGAGGCGCAGGGGAAGTGCTATACTAGACATCCTTTGGTACACTGACAACATCAGAACGAAACAGCAGGTTGACACTTTAATGTTAAATTTACTAAGATTACGCAAGGAGAAGAAAAGCCCTATTCCTAGAGGGCACAGACTGGGGCATTTAGGCATTAAACATCACAATATATGAAGCCCTCCAGAATGAATGATATTTAATGTATACACACATGTGCATTGAGAAAAATGTCAGCAGGTATAGCCAGCTAAGTGAGTTCCATGAAACTATTTTTATTCTTGCAATATTTTATTCTTGCAACTACCTTTCATAAGTTAGAAATTATCAACAAATTGGAAAATTATTTTTAAAAATGGGAGCCACAAACAAAATCACTTGGCATATAGTTAAGCACCTGGCATATGGTAAGAACACAATAAAATAACAGGTATTGCTACCAGTAACACAGAATTTATGAAATTAAAGTAAAAGTGTTACCAAAGATAGGTGACAATGACTGTAAAGGATATGCTAAAGCAGACACGGGGTGGGGTAAGCGATGAGTGTCTGCAGCACTGAGTCAGTGGTTCCATGACACTATTTGCAGCACCCTCTGACCTCTTCCATCTATTTTAAATGGTGCCACGTATATTCACAAACACCCATACGAGCATCACACTGGGGCAGCAGGCTGATTCCAGACTGGTCATTTATGACTGATGATAAAACCGAAAACCAGACAATAATGTCCACTGTCAAGAAACACATGAATTATAACATGCAATAAGTGCATAGGAATGTGTGACTCCATACACAGGCAACTGTCCATTCTTTGTAGGTTACAACGAAAGTGGCAATTATGCAGCAGAAGAGTGTGTGTAGGACAGGAACAGACTACAAAGGTTCAGTATACTGGAAAGAATGGACTCATGAATTTGACAATTCCTAGTTCAGAAATCACAATGAATAAGCATCAGCCTCAGATTCCAGGTAAACTCTGAATACAAAGGGCTACAGCACAGTGTAAAATATAAGTTACTTGGGACTGGAGAGATGGCTCAGCGGTTTACTGCTCTTCCAGAAGACCTGGCTTCAATCCCCAGCACCCACATGGGAGCTCACAACTGTCTGTAACTCCAGTTCCAAGAGATTCAATGCCCTCTTCTGGCTTCTGAGTTGCAGACATAAAGCACTCAAACACATAAAATTAGAACTCAAAAAATTTTTAAAGCATTATTTTAAAAATTTAAAATCTCAATGTATAATCAAATGCTTATACATTACCATGTACTTTGCTATGTCAGAAACTAGTAGATGAAAAACACCACACCTGTCCTAAAATCTGCACAAATAAAAATGGTCAAAATGCACCCAAAAGATTTGCATTAATAGGAACAGTTGAAATTGGGCTGCAGGATGGATCCACAGATAGAACTCTTGCTGCACAAACCTGAATACTTGAGTTTCATCCCTAGACCCCACAGTGGAAGGAGAGAACAGACTATAAAGTTGTCCTTTGACCTCTACACATGTACTATGGCACATGTGCCCCCACACTACCATAGCATACACACACACACACACACACACACACACACCAAAAATAAAAATATAAAAGAGAAACAATTGGGAGGACAATACAGAAGTAGGGGGAATGGATAAATAAAACTGAAACACTAAAGATGTTTGAAATGGCCACAAGGAATCATATTTTATATGTTATAAGCAACACATACATATGCATATGCACACAGATAGTAGAAATGAAGTTATGATTCCTGGGAAGATAATGTTTCCTCACAAGTCAGAGATCTAACAAAAAATCCCAGAACCAGGCATGAGTTGTTGGTCATATTAGTTCAAGAGACTCCCAAAACAATACAGATTATTTATGCTGCCCTACGTTGCCTCCCCAAAGTTGAAGATAAGTCCCTATGGCTGAAGACAGCACATAAGTTGGGAGATTTCAGCTCAATCAAACCTGGACGTCCCCTCCCTGAAGACTAGCTTTCTTAGTACCAGAAGTTGATATACAAGTTGTCAAGGGAGGAAAGCAATCAACAGCCCTACCCAGTTGTCATGCCTACCAACCACAATGATGACCAGCATGGCAAGATATTCCTAAAGGCGCAATAATGGCACTTATAACTTGGCACTAACCAAAATCTCTGTAGCTGGACTAGGGGCCCACTCAACATGCGGGAAATTATGCCTAATGTAAACCTAGCCAACCACTATGGCTAGTCAAGTCATAGATCCTACTATTACTGCCACTATCCTAAACCAGTGTAATTACTAACTGCATTCTAAATAGTTATCCTTACACCAGATAAACAAAGCTCTGGCTCCCTCCTCAAAGAATACTCATTTTTGCAGAAGGAGACTATTATAAGAAGCCACAGTTGATCAAACTGCAGGTAAAAAAAAGTTGACTGTGAGGCACCCATCCCCAAATGATACATCTACAACACTACCTCTACACCCATGGCTCAGAGAACATCATGGAAATGATGAAGAGGGGTCTAGGAAGACTTCTGTAAGATTGTGTCTTCTAGATATGACAGGGAAGCAACACTAAACAAATTTCAACAATATGACTGCTTAAATAAGATCTGAACAATTATAGTACCAAGTGAGATGTCAAAGTAGATGAGGTAAGTCTCAAAGGGTCTCGCCCCCTAAACAAGAACGACAGGTAACTAAGACATGCAAAAGAGGGAAGGAGAGAATTACTTTTACTAACCAATACTAAATGATCTGCCCTGAAATCATACATATAACTGAAACTAAACAGACTCAACAGATTGCATTTATCTATTTATACACACACACACACACACACACACACACACACACACACACACACAAATAATAATGAATAAAAAGAGACCATAAAGTTTGGGGCAAATGGATGGGAGGGATTGGAAGGACATGGAGGAGAGGCTATATGACATAACTATTTTAATTAAATGAAGAGAGAAACAACTGAAATAAGCTTCAGTGATTTGAATGCGGTCTCCACTATTCACATTTGGCAAATCCCTTATGTGAAACCCTTGAGTTCTCAACAGTTAGGAATAAATGTCTGACAGATCCAACTCTCACTCTTCACTTTGTAAGCATCATTGTGAATGGAGGGAAACCCATCAGGAGGGAAGAGGGTCTAAGTGAACCCTGCCCCTGAATACAAAATGCAAACCCGACAGGAAACAAATCAATACCAGTTTCCATTTCTGCTTCTGGCAAGGCCAAGGACTGAGCACAGCGTCTAGGGGTGGAGACAGGAGGGGGTGCTGCGACTCCGGTATCTCCTTGGCCGGTGTTCCAGCTGACAGGATCTGCAGAGGTCTTGACCACATTTCTCTGAAATAAATTATCTTCTTACTTAATACCTGGGGAAAATATCTACAAATATTTGTTTAGAATCCTAATTTTAAAGATTAAAGAAATGTAATTCTCATACTAAAGATACAAAAGATAACAAAAAGAAGCCAGGTGGTGGTGGCAGGTGCCTATAATCCCAGTACTTGGGAGGTAGAGGCAGGCAAATCTCTGTGATTTCAAGGCCGGCCTGGTCTACAGAGCTAATTCCAGGACAGACAGGGATACACAGAGAAACCCTGTCTCAAAAAACAAAGCAAACAAATACAAAAAGAAAACACTGCCTATCCGCAGTTTTGCTTTAACTATCAGTAGTATTTCCCTTAGGATGGCATATGACTAGCATCCAATATGCCAATGGACAGGCTTCCCTGGCTGGCTACAACACAGGAGATAATGAATGGCATCAGAATTACTCCTGAAAATCTAGCACACTTTCACTACAACAGGAGTCAAATTCACTAGAAACTAAGATACTGATATTTCACTTCCTAGCATATTCAAAATAAGTACTTTAACACATTCTGTTACTAGGTAAGAAAGACACCTGGATGCCAAACTATTAAAGACAGACAATGCTTACAGGAATGAACCTACTGCACAAGACCCTTTCTTCATAATGAAGGCTCTTAGTGTCCATCACTCTCTCAGGCATTGTACCTACTAAAATCACTGGTTTTTAAAGCAGTATGTTCAGCTTTTGGACACCTACTAACTACCAAAGAAACAGAACATGTGGCATTGCTCTCTAGCTTTAACTTGTCTCTGGAAGGTGACTGAATGTAGTGCCTTAAATTTGCTTGAAATTCTCCTGATATTTCCACTTTATTCTATCCATTAAGAACTATTAATACCTTTTGATAAAACATCTTAAAAATTGTCTTTCTCACTTCCTTCGGCTTTTCATCTTAGCAAGCTTTTGGTCTATTTCAATTTCCATGAGCAATTCTAAACTATGGCTTTCATAAACTATAAATCAGCCTTTCATATTTATGGAACATGTACTGCAAACTTGGAGTCACTAATTGACCCCCAGTGTCCTGAGCTGTGTTGACTACAGAGCATCAGGTCAAGTGCTGCTTCTATGACAAACTGGAGATGAGGCGTTTCAAGTCATCTTCCTCAGGAATGCAATTGGACCCACCCAAGGACAGCTGTGAACGGCTAAACTCTGAGCTGCATTGTCTCATCATGTCCACGGCCATGAGCCAGATAAGTCCCACAGATGAGCTACACCGCTTGTGCAATTATAAGCCCTAAAAGACTTCCAGATTGATTCTGCATTGACATAAAATGAAAGGCCTTGAATAGCCTGCATTTTCACTAAAAGAAAAGCCAAATTCATTAGCAACTGAAGTTTGACTGTAAAAAACATCTCTAACAAACACATGCAGGGGAAAGGTAGTGACATTTTTTTCACTTGTAAAGACTTTTATAGACAAACAAGTTTGAAAGCATCAACATGATTTCTTCATCACCTCTAATCCTAAAACCTGCTACTTTTCTTGTTTTAATTATTTCTCCCTAGGATTCTCAATGAAGTATTAAACAATGCTCATGGGAAGTAATCTTGCCAGTAATTTTTATTGAAGGCAACTATGTAATAGTAACATCGTTCTAAAATCAAGGATAAACATATGAACTGGGATGAGATGGACCAACCACTTGGTGCCACTGGCTCTAAAGTTCTGTCCTTTTTTCATATGTAAGACACACACAGACCAACAGATGCCAGGGTCAAGAATTAGGTCAGGGATTCTCTCTCTCTCTCTCTTGTTTTTTTTTTTTTTTTTTTTCTGGATGGCCAATCATTATACAGATTTGCCCAGAGCAACTAGCTAATTTGTCTCCTGCATTGGAACTCCCATCCTGGCTTATAAGCATTCCCAGTACGTATTAGTATCAAATGCTCAAAAACGGCCTAGAAAAGCCTTTAGCGGTGATGCCTTCACAAAATCGAACTCTAATGGCTAAAGCTTGCTCCAGAGTCTATTCAGACACCTTCCCTGGTCCCAAACACTGAAACAGGCTGGCCACACACTAGAAAAAGATTCAGGATTTTGCATGAATGCCTCACCCTTCAATTCTAAATTGGTCAGGCTGGTTTCATCTGGTTTCAAACAGTATTGCACTGCATGACTAAAGGACACAGAGAATTCATTCTGCATGCACACATTTTGGCAAATCAAACACCTTGCTTGTTTGTTTCTTTTTAACAATTCTGGGACATCATTGGTACTTTTTGTATAATAAGACATTGAGACAAGAAACTGACTTCTAATCTCTTCAGAAAAAAACAAACAACCCTCTGTGTATACTTCTTGAAGTGGTTAGAAACACAATTATTTAGTTTCTAAATTGTTATGCTCTTATAAGGAATAAACACATATATGTTTAAGTAATAGATATCTAGAGGATAAATGCTCTGCTTCATAGTGGTGGAGCTATGAAGCAATTAAAAAAACAAAAAAACAAAACAAAACAAAAAAACTAGCAACAAATGCAATCCATTAGATCTGCTGCAATAAAACTTGTTTTCACCAGGGAAAACAAACATTGTAACCCATTAATCCTAAGCTGAAGATGAGAAAAATCTACCAGAGTCACCTTCTGCAATCACAATCACCACTGGTATTCAAGAGTTCGCTCTACTCTAAGAACATACCTTTTCCCACTCGGAGGAAACAGAGTCTGCAAGCAAGGGCAGCATATTTTGAAGTGCTTTCTGTATGCAGGCTTTTACTTTCTCAAAATACTGCACAGATATCCATTTTGAAGAACAAACTGACATGACTTCCAAAAGCTGCCTGTTCTTTGTGTCACCAGTGTACTCCTTCTGGGTGTCCCTTAGGAGAAACTCAAGCACAGCGAGGGTGTCTTCCTCATACTGATGGATTTCCAGTTGTGTTCGCTGGGCCTCCTGCAGTGTCCACTCCCTGCGACTCTGGTCCAGACATGCCTGGAATTCTGTCTCTTTCTGAAGAAGTAGTTCAGTGTTCTGCTTTATAAAGTCCTCCTTAGCTGCAGCAAGCACCTCATTAATTTTATTTCGATGATCATCTAAAAACTGCCGATAATCTTCCTCATTTTGTTCTTGAATCCTATGGATTTCTTCCTGCTTTTCTCTGTTCCATTCAGTTCGGGCCTTCGCCAACTCAGCCCTGACTACCACAGGGACTTCCTCATCCTTCAACTTCAGTTCCTTCTGGAGGGAGTGGATTTTCTCTTCCAGTTCCTTCACAGCCATTACATTTGGCTTCATGTTTTCAAGTTCACTTCTCCATTTCTTTTTAGCTTCAGAGAGTGCAAGTGACAGCTAAAAGATATGGCAGCACACATGTGCCAGGTCAGAAACACACATTTGGAAGTCTCTGACAGACTTTATTAACAACAAATCCTGTCTGGGCTAACCTCCCAACTAAACAAGCAATTGAAAATACAAAATAAGGGAAAATAAATCTAGATGTGTGTGACAAACATTCTGTAAAATATGCTTACACTAGACTTAAGAATCTTCGTGTGTGTGTGTGTGTGTGTGTGTGTGTGTGTGTGTGTACATGTGCACATGTGTGGGTGTACTCACCTCTGAGGCTGCCAGAGGCTGACACTGGGACTCCCTCCTGTCATGTTCAATCTTATTTGTCGGAAAGAATGCCTCACTAACTCTGAAGCTTGTTGTTCCCACTAGATTGGCTGGTCAGCAATCCCCCATGCTCCTGCCATCTCCAGCCAAGCCCAGGTGCACATGCACAGCTTTATGTGGGTTCTGAGACTCCAAACTCAGAATCTGTGCTTGCACAACAAGCACTTTACCTACTGAAGCATATGCCATCCTCCTGCCTCAGCCTCCTGAGTACCGGGATTGCAAATGTCTTCTGTATTCTTAGAGATCTTTTGGCTATCTGCTTGCTATGTTCTACCCAACATCATTATTTTACTTGGCTGCTGAGTCTCATCATATTGTTTCCTCTTTCTCTCTCCCTCTGAGATATTTCCTTTGAGATATTTCAGACATACAAAAATACAGAAATAAGAAATACTCATGTACTTACTATTACATAGTAAGAAAACATTGATATTTTGTTATTTATTTTTAAGACAAAGTCTCATGTATCCCAAGTTGCCCTCCAATTCTCTGTAGCCAAGGATGACCTTGGGCATCAGAGCTCTCAAGTGCTGGGTTACAGGCATGCACCATCACACAGTTTTATTTTTCAAACACTTAACTTTAATCAACCTAAAGTTCATCGTGACACATAGGTCACTTTCCCCAAAGTGTTATGGGTTATTACAAGACTATTCATCTTGGAGCTATCCATTCATTCCCTAGCTTTGAAATTATTTCTTAAACATTTATTCAAAGCCGGGCCTATCCCTCAAGTCTGTCTGCAATGAAGTGTGTTGTTGTAAATCAAGGCAGTTTTTGCTTTCAAATTCATCCTGTTGTGTGCACCTTTCCAGAAAAGTGGGGGGGGGGGGAGAAAGAGTCTAGTCCTTTACTTCTCAAAACAAATTTTAGAATTATTGCGCCAAACTTTAAAGTTATTTTCAGCTTGCTTACCTTTTGACTAGAATTAGTTTAAGATCCATAAATTAAATGGGGGGAGAGGGTTGCACATCTGGGTTTTTCTTTTGAAGAACACAAACTCTCTAGAGAGCTGGGTATTTACAAAGTGAACATACTCTAAGACTACAGCCAGCTCAGTAAATCTTCACATGTATGAAATGATAACAAGGAGGAGAGACCTGTTCCCTATCTCACCAAACAGTTCGTAATAAAATGAGGTCAATTTCTAGGTGCAGGCATCTCTCCGATGATGAGAGATTCAAGGTGCTGAGATGCATAACTGTCCCCTCCAGTGAGATAAAAGCAGATTCCACCTGCTTAGGCTCAGAGTGCAGTGTGATGGCTCAATGCCAGGAGCAGGTGCACATTCCAGAGTGGAGGTGGGAGGATAAGGACAGAACAGTGCAGCACTCACCCTCTGGCTCACAGCCAGCTCCTGCTGCTCCGCCCACTCCTGCTGCTGGGCTCTCAGCAGTGCCTTATACTCAGCAAGCTTGGGCAGCTCCTGTAGCCAGCGACCTCGGGCATTCTGCACAGCTGTTTCCACCTACAGGAGACGACAGGAGAGAGGCAGAGCAAGGGTAAAATTTCACAGCAACTATGACCTCATACATATTTTACATTACAACCACACTGACTTCATACTAAATAGTGCACAGCAATCCTTCTTTCTAAATTCTGTCCCCTACAAAGGGCAAAACAGGAAGTGGGAATCTGTATCTGATGAGCAATGCAGTTATCAGAAGCATCATACAAAGAACTATCTGTCATTTCCAACCAAGTTCTATTTATCCTGGTAGCAAAACTAAAGTACACCAGAGGGTTAGGTCACCTAGTGTCAGCTGTCAATTATACCCATCACCTCCTCGTTCATGATCAACCAATACATCATATGCACACAGACACAGACACACTTCATACCTAGCACAGATTGCTGCTGTCCACTATTAATTTGGACGTAAGAATGCACATGACCCTTCAGGTTCCAACAAGACTTCTAAGCAAGATGAATTTTAAGGGGAGTGGGTTATAACCTACTAGCAATTACATGTGCACAGCTTATTAAAATTTGTTCTTTCTTTTAAGACACAGATAATACACACAGCAATGTAGGGCTGACACAAACACTTTGCAGTGAAAGTACTGATTGAACATGCATATAAACTCCAGGTGGTTAAACTAGAGCAAGAAGATAAAAAAAGTTCCGACAGAAATTTATGTCTTCTGGAGACATTTCCTCCCTACGGTGTTAGCTTTACTTACTTTTCTTCGTGCGATCTAAAGTTTTATACATACCAAAGGAGCAATCTTAAACACTTCTCTAAGCAATGTTTTCCTAACCTTAGTAAAGACTTCAGAAGATTGCTGGCCTAGAACTCACTATGTGTACCAGGCTGGCCTCGGACTCCCTGTGCAGACCAGGTTGGTCTGGGACTCACTATGTAGACCAACCAAGCTGGCCTGGAACTTATGGTAATCCTCCTGCCTCTTCAAGTGCAACACCAGGCCCAATTTCAGGAAACTTTAGCTGATGGAAGGTGTCCTTGACATGTCATGTGTATTTATTTGCCTATGTTTCCTGACTGTAAGATATCCTACAATAACATGCATATGTACAAACTGCTGAGTATTTATTAAAAGCTAAGCCTATTTAACTACCTTACTCTAGTTACTGGTTTTTGCTTTTTTTTTTTTTTAAGTACTGGGATTGAAATGAGGGTTTATTGTATTGCACAAGTATGCTATTACTAGTCCACATCCTGAGCCCCAGACAGCTTCTTGTTTAAAGTAAAATATCTAAAATAATGAATATATAATAGATTTTTAAGACATTGCCTGTCTTTTGCACTCTGACCTCCCATGCATAAAAAGTGCAGCCCTCCAGGAGAATCATTATACTAATTACTAGGTACAGAGACTAAGTCATCTTTACTCTGTTAGCATGAGCTACACTTTCCTCAGTACAGTCTTGCTTTGAAAATGTTTTCACCCATGTCTCAAGCAAGGCTGTGAAAGCTTCAAGGGAAAGGCAATGGCACCACTTTTTGGCCACTGATGGGAATTACAAAGTTCCACTATGGGATACACCTGCCAGCCCAACTCAGCATAGAATTTCAACACCAACGCTGTTAAATATCTTAATCTAAAATTACTAACAAAAATACTTGAGTGGAATATTTCTATAAAGCTAAATATGGAAGATTCTTATTAATTCTTAATTTGAATGTTACAACAACAAGCACATATGCCTCTCAGGCATTCTCACATTTAGATTTCAGAAAGCAACACAGAAAGAATTCTATAACAGAAATGAAAAAAATTTAGAGACACTGCAGTATCTGTTTCATTCTAGAAAGGCTAAACTGTTTAAAACGTACAAGTCAAAGGTAGCATTTCCCAGATTTTCATGGATAAGCAACCCCCAAACTTCACTCTACTGACGGAGCCTATCACCTGTTGTGTAATATTCTCACAGTACTTGAGCTCCAACTCAACTTCAAGCTTCCTAAGAGCTTCCTTGACAGCAACCTCTTTCTCCTGCTCCAACTCCCGCTGGGCCTTGCGAGCCTGCTCCTCTGCCAGGACCGTTGCTTCTGCCTCAGAAACAACAAGGGCTATCTGGTCCGTCTGGATGCCACAGTCTGAAGTCGCCTTTCTCGGAGCCTTTACACTATGATTCAGTTTGGACCGCCACTCCTTTTCCAGCTGTTGACCAAGTTTTTGTCTGCTCTGTTTTTACAAGGAATATGAGAGGAAAAGCATTCGATAAAGTTAAAACCTAGAAATAAAGGTTACTCAAAAAAAAAAAAAGCATGTGTACTTAAAAACCCTTTTCTGACACTATGATACAGTGCTGTCATCTTCAAAGTTCATGCATGGTTCAAAACCACACAAATAATCTCATGTTTTAGGTAAGTTCTGCACACTGGGCGCATTGTGTCCTGCAGTAGCTGTTGGACATACCTGATAAATACTCTTGTGGTTATTACATGAGGGTTAGAAATTCAGTCCACAAAAATATATTCCCAAGCCACACTTGAAAAGTTCTCTTTGGCTTTAACTACAGAACAGAATTCACATGATGACTTAATGACAGCATTAAGGGCAGACCATCTCAGGGTCAGTATGTGGCCAAGAAGTTCTGATTCTGCTACTGTAGAGATGTCACAACAAAAACTCACAAAACTGTTTGCTATTAACTATGGAGTTTCATATCAATAACACTTTCTACAAAGCAAGCACTTAGTAAATCTCATCAACAAGTTTAAGTTGGATGGTATAAGAAACAGTCTTACCAGCTCAAACACCCCGGAACCTTACACGGTATATAATAAGTTAGAGGGAGGCGTCACAGACATAACATCTCTTCCTGAGTTCCCCCATGCTTACCAATGCAATAGGATGGGTCTAATTAGTCTCATGCAAAATTATAAAGTAGCAAAATGGCCTTTCCTTTTTTTTCCTGTCCCACCTGCTGAATAGCTGGAGTTCTAAAAGTACTTCCTGGCTAACACACTAACTAAATAGCAAGCTCATAGGCAGAATCTAGTTTAAACAAGCTAGAATTTTCTAAGTACTTAAGATCATACTTTGGTTCTTTAATTTCTAAGAAACCAGCCAAGCATGGTGGTGCATGCCTTTAATCCCAGTACTTAGAAGGCAGAGGTGGATGGATCTCTCTCTTAAGTCCAAGGTCAGCCTGATCTGTATAGCAAGTTCTAGGCTACAAAGTGAGACCCTGTCTCAAAAAGAAGGTGGAAGAGGCAGAGAAGAAAACAACTAACCCATGCTGGCAAGGACGCAGACAAAAGGGAAGCCTGTACACTGCTGGCTGTCCGGTCACTACGGAAGCCAGATTGGAGGTCCCTCCAAAACTAAAAATGGAGCTAGGAAAAGGTGCAGCCACACTACCCCTGGATGCTTACCCAAGATGCAAGTCAGCATGTGGCAGCCACACTCATACAGCAATGTTTACTGCCTTGCTCCAGTAAACATATAGACTACAATTAAGTATAGACTCAGCCTAGATGCCAGCAACAGGGTGAACCAATAGAGAATGCAATTTACACACAGTAGAGCTCCCTTCAGTCACCAACTTACAGCATTTGCAAGAAAGCAGATACAGCTGAAGATAATTACACCCAGCAAATAAGTCAGCTTCAGAAAGATAAATATATCCTCTCTCATTGTGGGTCTACAGATTTCATAAAGATACATAAAATCAAGTATATACAGGAATGTGAAAGTACAAGTAAAACTCTCTAGAAAACAAAGGACAAATGGGATGGGGGAGGGGTGAGCAGAGGAGTCCAGCAGGGCATGGCACTAGATGCTAGGACATTCTTATACTTGCATGAAAGTGGCCTAATTAACACACTACATTTTATAACTAAAAATTAAAGTTTTGGCTGCTGAGCCTGCCCATTACTTTTCTTCTAATCCAATGCATGAATCATTTATGTCTATAATCACATAATCAGAGACATTGGTGTAGACTTATTAGAGTCATTTTATAATAGGAAATTAGGCCATAGTTTCATTTCTAGGAATCAAATAAACATCCAAAAAACATATATCCTAAATTGGATAAAGCTCATGGACTAATTTGGAAAAGTCAAAGTGGTATGATGTGTTCCAACAGCCAGATTCTGAGAGACAGAACAGATGGCCATCTAATACTTGCTAATTAATTATAAGTCACATGTCCAGGAAGAATGACCTATAGTTCTATAGTCGTTAATACATATAGTGACCAGAAACCAGGTGTGGTGTCTCATTCCTTTAATCCCAGCACTCAACAGGCAAAGGCAGGCACAAGTCTGTGAGTTTAAGGCTGGGTTGTTCTACATGGCATGTTCCCAGCCAGCCAGCGCTGGGAAAAATAAACAGAGTGACCAGAAGAAACTTTGACCCAGCCCCTTTCTTCAGTTGTCCCAGGGTGCTCCACGTGGCATCACCTCTGTCTCAACCTGCTCTTTAACACTGGCTTCCTGCTCTTTCAGCCAGTTCTGCTTCGCCGCCTTAAGGGTTTCTTGGTACTTCTCTTCAAGTTCTAACTTCAGTTTGCCCACATATTCTTCTCTGTCTTCTAAAAGCTGCCTCTGTTAAAAAAAAAAAAAACAAAAACAAAAAAACCTAGATTAGTTTCAACGTGGGCATGGTGGAGGCAGGATCAGGAGGTCATGGCCATTCTTGGCTTCACAGCAGGCTAAAGGCCAACCTGGGCAACAGTATGAGACTCTGTCTTTATGAAAACCAAAACAGTTCACGTGGCATGAATCTTGGTCCTGCACATCTCCTAAGTTCTGTGTCCAGACTAAGTTCCCTACTTCACACTCATATCAATGATTCTCCTCCTATTTTAATTTTTATAAAATCACTAAAAAGCTAAATTCTCAATTTCTAAATTTTAAATCCCTTGTAACTATTCAGTAGCCAACACTGATTAAAACTGCTCCTTTAAAACCTCATTTTCCTCTGAGTGACATAACACATATAGCATGTTTTCCATCTTGTTCATCTACTGAAATATAGCCAAAACATTACATGAACTGACTTCCCATCTGCTCATGACTGCCTTTTCCACATACATGATGTCAATACCTTGCTTTAAGATATATTCAAAAACATCTGGACAGAATATTTATATGTAGTCAACTTTGTACCTAGTTTCTAGTCTTGAAGCAGGTAGCTTTCAATTTGTGGCCTGCAGGCTGGTCCAAGCAAGCCAGATCTCCATCTCCAAGGACGGAGTTGACCACTGCTTACCATGAGTGTACTCCTGGACATGCAGCGAGGGCAGCAGGAAGGACCATTTGGCTAAAGAACCTAATACTCTTTCTCCAGCTCCCCAAGAGGTCAGTGGTCAAACACGGCCTTCTCCAGAGCCTCCCCTTCCTTGCCCTTCCTAGCACAATAAAACGACAATCATCCAATCTGAGTACAATGGGTATAGGGGGAAAGCCACTACTGGCACTCTGTGCAGCATTCAAAGCCACTGATAGCACACTGTGTGCAGTGCTCACAGCCGCTGAAGGCACACTGTGTGCAGCACTCAGAGCCTCTGACAGCACAATGTGTGCAGCGCTCAGAGCCGCTGAAGGCACACTGTGTGCGGTGCTCACAGCCGCTGACGGCTTACTCTGCAGTGCTCACAGCCACTGACGGCACACTGTGTACAGCAGTCAGAGCCACTGATGGCATACTGTGTGCAGTGCTCACAGCCACTGATGGCACCCTGTGTAGAGCTCACAGCTGCTTTGCTGAAGGCACACTGTGTGCAGCACTCAGAGCTGCTGATGGCACACTGTGTGCGGCGCTCACAGCCACTGATGGCACACTGTGTGCAACACTCACAGCCACTGATGGCACACTGTGTGCAACACTCACAGCCACTGATGGCACACTGTGTGCGGCGCTCACAGCCGCTGATGACACACTGTGTGCAACACTCACAGCCACTGATGGCACACTGTGTGCGGCGCTCACAGCCGCTGATGGCTCACTGTGTGCAACACTCACAGCCACTGATGGCACACTGTGTGCGGCGCTCACAGCCGCTGATGGCACACTGTGTGCAACACTCAGAGCCACTGATGGCACACTGTGTGCAGCGCTCACAGCTGCTGATGGCACACTGTGTGCGGCACTCATAAGTTATGCAGGATTTCCTGCACAGGCAGCAAACACATGAAAATGGAGATGGGGTGGGGAGTGAGTGGATACAGACTGTTTTGTCTTCCAGAATAAGTCTATAAAGACAGCTCAGTGGGTACTGCTTCTGCAAAGGACCAGGTTTGGTCCCAGCACCCACGCCCATCAGTTTACAACAGTTTGTAACTCCAGCCCCAGAGATACAATTCCTTCTTCTGGCCTGTGACAACTGCACTCATGTGTACAACATACCCACAGAAACTCACACACACATAATTTAAAATAATAAAATAAATCATAAAATGTATTTTAAAAAGGAAATGTGATCTTCCCTCATCTAGTCACCCTTTCAACAAAGGTTTTAATAATTTCGATATTTTTTTAATTTTGTGAGCCATATAACCAAACAGAAAGGCTTCCACGAACACCTTTCCCAGACTTCTCAAAGCAGATGTGTTAGTGTAAACGAGAGAGGTGTGAGAGGAAATGGGAGTGGCCTACCTTCTGTTCCTGAGCCTTTTCCATGGTCTTCCTGAGAGCTGATTCTAGCTCATCCTTCTCTCTGCACACTTCCAGATAACACTCCTGCACAGCAGCCATCTCCTTGTTCACCTTATCAAGGTCAGACCTTGGAAACACAGAACCAGCAAGTAAGTGGGTGTGTGCATGCATGTGTGCGTGTACAGGCACACAAACACATGCAAACAGGCACTGAAGCCTCCTCTTACCTGAGCTGTGACTGGGTCCCCTCATAGACCTCAAAAAGATGCTGCTTCTCCACAGTGTGCTTTGCTAAAAGGCTCTCTCGGATCTGGGTCTTCATGGCTTCATGGTGCTGCTGATAAGTCCTCTCACACCTAGCAAGAGAGGGGAACTGAACCATGCAGCACCAGGGTCAGGGTAACTTCCGCCCGCCCGCCTGCCCGCCTGCCAGCCTGCCTTTCCCCTGTTTTCATTAATGCAAAATTATAATTAGGTCAGACTGTTTCCCCCAACCAAAAACAAGCACAGTTCATTTAAAACCATTGGCCTTAAGGAATCTTCAAACATTTCTTACTTCGTGTCTCTAGAAAAAAAAATGGACTTGGGTATGAGAATATCCCAGTACTGCAAACAGAATAGTTGGTCTATAATGGAGAACTGGTGTCTAAAAAGAAATAACTGTTTAATTGAAATAACTGAGGAACAGTCTCTGAATACAAATCATACATGTTTAATACACAAATACCAGCAGTAGCCACCTTACAAGTCATCTTCCAAAGGACTGTTTGCAAATGTGGGATGTGGTATTTGGAAGGCAAACTCCTCCTAAGTTTGTATTTCAGTGAACATTATATACTCTGGTATATTATTTTCTAGACATGTCATAAAAATGGACACACTGCTAGGTGATGAGCTAGGGTTAGCCCACCACGTAACTCTGTCTTGGTGCTCCAAGTTACAATCTGGGAAGTAGGGGCTGACCTCTGTCCATCAAGATCTCCACGGGGACAGCTCACTCCACTTTGGGAAAGGGGCTACGAGGGCAGAAGACTGGGCCATCCAGGAGAAGACCCAGGAGACAAGAAATGGGCACCAGCATGACTCCTCACCTATCCACAGCTTCTTGCTTATCGTGGTCAAAGTCCTGCACCATCTGTCTCATCTGGTTGCACAAGTCTTGGTTTGTACTTCTCAGTTTTTCTTCAGCTTCTTTAAGTTCCTGGACACAGAACAAAGGATTAGGCGAAAGAAACACCACCTGCCCTGACTAGTCTAACATCCTAACACCCTCAGCCTTATGCCATTATCTGATACAATATCTCTCTCACAATTCTACAGAAAGCATCTTCATACATGTAAGATAGACATATAAGCATTAAAATAATGTATTTGTTTTGAAATGTATCAAATGGAAATATTTAACTAGAGAAGTATTAAGCTAATTTGATACCTTAAAAGAAAGTCTAAGAATTCAATAATCTTCATTAAAATAAAAAAAAAAAAAAAAAAGGCTTTACATCTGGCTAAGAAGACAGGAGCCTGTCTGTTGGTCATGCTACCAAATGAAACAGGAATCACTCAACCTTCCAGTTACGGTACTGCCCATGGCAGCGGTAAAGGAGACAGACAGAACCACCGAGACTGCCCCAAACATGTCCACTACCTCACATCGCCTGTGTCTGCAATTGAGTCTGCGCTACCGTCAGTAAGGCCATGAAAAATCTCATTAAAAGACAGGACATTTACTCACCTGGTTCTGTTGCTGTAAAATCTGAACTTCATTTTTCAGTCGCAGAATATCTTCTCTGACAATTGTCTCAGGAGAATCAAGCCATAACTGATCAGTTGTTTTTTCAGAAGTATCTGTTTTAGTCTGAAAGGTTAAAAAGGTTTTTAAGTTAAAATAGAATAACACACTTTGAAAAAATTTCACTTAGGGGAAAAAAATATTTAAATAAAACAAATAACTTGCATGTTATTTTCTTCATCTTCTTTCTTAAATACAATCAATATAACCACCAAAGCTAACAGGGATGTGTAATAACCATTCTACATACTTCATACAAACAAATGCCTCCAATTTTCCTCTAATACCCTTTTCTGCATCAAGATTAAACCAATGCCACTCTGCATTTAATTGTCTTGTCTCTTCCTGGCTGTAATAGTTCTTCATTCTGTCTTTCAAACCCATGGCACTTTCTAGGGGTGCTAGTTCCTTTGCAGGGTATTTCCCTTATTTTGACTTTTTCCTAATGTTATTTATAAATTCCGGTCACCATCTAGCACGAATGCTGATACGTCCCAGCACTGGTGGCGAGCAGCTGAAAACAGAGCCTTCCAGGCACTGACCCACACTGTGCTTAGGACGGACGGTGTCTCAGAAGATTATTTTCAGACGAGGCAATATCCCGCTTCTGCTACACCTCTACTCAGTAGAATTAACATATATTCTATTTATGTACATTTTACTAGCATAATTCATGTCTATACTTTATTCAGTAGGTACTACTTTTAAGATACATGATATACTCTGGTTTATTACTTCCTAGACAAGTCATAAAAATGGACACACTGCTAGGTGGTACAGGAATTAGTTCCAAGTCTCTTGACCTCTAACATCGACATTAATCTTCAGCCACTGAACTGGACGAGAAAAGTGGGAAGCTAAGAGTTCCTTCACCTTCGTTCTGTTTTGCCACCACAGTGGGACCTCTTTCTTTATATAACTGTGTGCCCCGTTCCATCTGAGCGTTTCCATATCTATAGGCTCCCTATTCTCTAAAGGAGAATCAGTACATTACTCAGTTTATGGACGTATCTGAAATCTATTCCATGATGCTATCTGGGCACAGTCATGAGAAAAGATTTTGAAACAGATTGTTTCGAAGGGGGCACTGCTGCCCTGACTACATGGCAGTGTGACTAATAGGCACTTTTAACTGCTTTGCCAAAGGGATTCAGAGATTTTGGACCTGTGAGCTAGAGAAATGATGAGATGCTGTAGGCAGAGCTCATTGGACAGTTCTGGTAGAAGCAAAGGGGGGGGGGGGGCTGACAGATTCAGACAGTAAAGTCTGGCTCTCCTGGTTTCAGCTGTCGACTGAACTACAGCCATTCATGTAACATTCTAGAAAAGAACCCAGCTGCGTTCTGCAGCAGCCCGGGAATCTGTGTGAGGCAATATTTGGAAGGAATGAACTAAGTAGTTCTGAGGAAGGAATATTAAGACTGAGATGTGGTTACTACTCACTGCTCTCCTCTGTTTTCATTCAAGCATCCAGTGAGAGAGCAGGTGAAGCACAAAGATTAGGAAAAGGAGTGTGAACAAATTCAAAGTTTCAGACATGGCAGATGGGGGGAAAGCAAGTGTATCCATTAATTACAGAGACCTCCCACTCCTCACTGGGTGTGTGTAAGTTAAAGAGTTAATGAGCATCAGAGCTGGGATGTTAGGATTGAAATTGCTATGCTTGGGTGTCAAGTTGAGAAAGGGCAGAACGATAATTGTTAGTCTGCATCATTAACTTCAAAGGATTGATATCACCTAGCAGACATGCATCTAGACTCCTATGAGAGCATTTTCAATGAGTTTAACTGAAGAGGAGGAGATCCACCCTTAACATAGGCAGCAACATCCTACAAACTGGGAATGAATTAAAAGGAAGGAGAAGGAAGCCAGGTGAGTGCAGCATCCATTTCTCTCTGCATCCTGACTGTGATGACATACCATGACCAGCCATGTCACCTCTCCCACCTCCATTCCTTCTCCAACACAATGAGCCATGCCCCTTCACCATGAGCTAAAATACACTTTTAAGTTGGGGGATCACAACGAATCAATAGTTAAATTAGGAGAAAAAAAAAAAAAAGAATAACTAAACTATTTTCTCTCTCCCCATAGAAATCCCAATGCCTCCCAATCATGCTTTCTAACTTTACAGATTAATTGACAGTCCTGTTATAAAGATTTGGGATAAAAGAGTCCATATAATGTTTGAGGTGATCATAAACTTTCATCTTAAAATGCAGTCCAAACTTGAATGTTTAACAGAAACAAACCAACCTTCTGGCTTTTATAGTACCAAAAGGTGCAATGCAGGATTCTGGGGGCGGGGGCGGGGGTGGGGAGGGTGGATCAAATCAACAGTCTCACTCAGCTATTAACATTGTGAACTTATAGTATTGCTTGGTATGGCAAGAGATGCCCATGTGTGTAATAGTGGCACAAATGTCATAGGGGTAACCAGTTCTTTCTTTTCTTCTTCTTTTTTTTTTAAGTCACAATAATTAGCACCTTAGAACATCTGACATAATTTGACAGGATTTTTAAAATTTTTTAATGAATAGGACTCTTTTGGCATAAGAACAAGGACATAAAAAAGCAATAGATTAAAAATTATTTCCCTTCAGGGAAAAAAAAAAAAAAAGAATATACTCCCTACATTCCTTTCAACATCCTACTTTCTTTTCTTAATTGCCAATTCATTTCTGCATTATTTTTCTTGGCAATAAAGATGGTAAAATGAGGAGGAAAAGGGCCAGTCTCAAGATCTGGTGATAGAGTTTCCAGCAATAGCCCTGACCCCTATCAGTCACATAATATCTTCAGTTTCCTCAGTTTGAATGTGAAACCCCAGTTGGGCCACCGACTCCCCTACCTTCATTTTCCTCATCTCCAAAGATACTGGCTAAAGAATACTGAGGTGTGGATATCAGGAGCAGGATATGGTAGCACTCCCATTACCTCGGTACTGGGGGCAAAGGCAGAGATTACAAGTTGAGGGCTAGCCAGGGCTACAAAGTGAAATCCTGTCTCAAAATTTAAAAGACACAACCCAAAAGAAGGTGCTGACCAGTATATAAACCCCATTTCCTCAGAGACAGGTTCTTATAAGAACAGAGCCAGGGAGAGCATAGGAGCAGAGCTTCTGAACTGTGTGGGTTGTGACTCCTTTGGGGTGGAATGAGCCTTTCACAGGAGTTGCTGAAGACCTTCGGAAAGCAGATATTACATTATGATCCATAACAGTAGCAAGATTAGCGTTATGAAGTAATAAAAACATTTTATGGCTGGGGTCAGCACATGAGGAACTCAATGAGAGGGTCACAGCATTAGGAAGGTTGAGAACCACTGGAAAGGTCTCACCAAGACGATTACTAACAGGGTTTTAAAGCACAGGATTGGTTCAGGCCAATGGACAAAATGGACATGCCCCTTTCATTTGATTTGTGAACAATGAATTGGTATCTTATTCACTAGGTAGCCAAAAATACCCTTTCAAGAGGGTTTTTTTTTTTTTTTTTTTTTTTTTGTCTTTTTTCTCTATAAGCTTTACTTCTAAGAGTCAAAGGAACCCCAGGAAACCAAAAACTTAACTTACATCTACAAAGCGTAAAGGCTCTCTTTACTGCATGTTTCAAAGGGACTTCTGAACTGTACAGGCCCCATGGACCTCACCTCCATGACTTTGTCGCCATCCTTCAATTGCCGGAGAGCTTCTATTGTCCCATGGCAGTCTCTGAGCTCTCTCTGTAACTGAGACACCAGATGACGCTTCACAGAGTTGCTATTCAGCAAGCGTTGAACTTGGGCTTTCAACTTCAGGATAACCTCCTCTTTCGAAAGCTCTTCATTTGGGGTGTCTTTCTGTGCAGTGCTGATGGGGAAATGGTCAGTTTTAGGATTAAACCAAGTAACGAATCAAACATAGTTATTCCTCAAGCCCTAATCGTGTCCTAATCTTATGCCTTGACTGTCATGCATTTTGAACCATTTGTTTCTTTGTTTTTTGGTGCTTCATACATGCTATTCAAGTATTCTAAGCTTGAGCTACACCCCAACTCTGCTGAAGGATTTGGAACTTGGGAGCTAGAGTGATGGCAAGGTGACTAAGAGCATGTAATGCTCTAGAGAAGCCTTGATTCAATGCTCAGCACAAGGTGGCTCACAACTAACTCCAGGTTCGGGGATCTGATGTCTTCTTCTGGCTTCAAGATTATCAGACATGTAAGCGGTGCACATATAAACAAGCAGGCAGAACACTAGTACACATAAATCAAAAATAAATAAATTGGAACTTTTCATACAAGGACACCATCTTTGCACAAAAATGAGTTCATTCCTCTGAAGACACTCTCTCCACTTAGTCTTTCTGTCTAGACATAAGCAGTTTAACGCGGACACAGCTCACACTTGTGATTTTGGGTATGTGGCATTCTAATATTTAATGAGGCAATATGGATGCTGAGGAAGAAAAAAGTAGCAAAGATCAGTTACCCTAAACCAACTACTGTTATCTCTTCCAACTTATTGACATATAAGTCTAGGCAAAATCCAAACAGGAAAATGGAAACAAAACCATGCTAATCTAATCTAAACTTTTTCTCTCTCCTCTTCCTACTTCCCTCCCCTCTTTGTACACAATGAAGGATTGAACCTAGTGGCCTCATGCATTCTAAGTGCTCTGCTGCAGAGCTGTATTCCAGCCTTTAAACTCAACTCTATTTTCAATAAGCTTAAGGCTTAGAATGAGATTCTCATTTTTTTAAGTTATTTTACTATTAGCGTGTGGGGGTGACATGCAGGACCACTGCCCTCATGAACTCTCAGCAGATGCAACTGCCTGTACATGACCTACACCAGACAAGTCAGTCACCATTGCAGCAAGAAGAGGGATGCTTTGTAGGTCCCCACTCTCAGCTGAGGCGCTATCCATAGATGATGGCTTTTGGGGAGGGACAGTCAGTTTTCTGTAAGGGCATACATAACCCCTGGTAGATCCATGCCTTGGTGGATGGCCCTACACCCATGAGACCATGGCCAGCACATAATGGACTCAGTGGTTTATGCAACACAAAAACAACAAATGGCATCAAGTTGGAATGGGTAAGAGTAGAAAAGGCAAATATCAAAATACAGCGTATGCAAGCATGAAATTCTCAATAGAAGTGTCTTTTTTTTTTTTTAGTTGAACAGTCCTAAGTTTCCATAGTGGCTAGTACACACTCTAAAATCATAGGCATTGGGTAAACACTACAGATAACCAAGTAAATCTCAGACATTAGTAGTAATGAAAATATACTGGTTTATTTGTTTTGTTTTGGTTTTTGGTATTTTGTTTTTCGAGGCAGGGTTTCTCTGTATTGTTTTGGAACCTGTCCTGGAACTAGCTCTGTAGACCAGGCTGGACTTGAACTCACCTGCCTCTGCCTCTGCCTCCCAAATGATGGGACTAAAGGCATGTGCCACCAACGCCTGGCTGGTTCATTAATTTTAACAATTCAAATTGTTAATAGGGAGCATGGGAGCTGAATATACAGAACTGTGTAAAGTATAAATCCCTATTTCCAAAATCTAAAAAAGAAAATGGTATGTGAATTAAAGTTTTTACTCCTGAAATAGAAAGACTTCAGATTATTTTAAATGAAATGTTAGAATATTGTGCATGTGTGAAGAGAGAATGAACAAAACACTAATGTTTTGTTTTGTTTTGTGTTTTGGTTGTTTGTTATTTCGAGACAGGGTTTCTCTGTGTAGCTTTGGAGCCTGTCCTAGAACTCACTCTGAAGCTGAAGACCAGGTTGACCTCAAACTCATAGAGATCTGCCTGCCTCTGCCTCCCAAGTGCTGGAATTAAAGGCATGTGCCACCAACGCCTGACAGTAAATTTATTTTTAACAATATAAATGGAACTCCTTAGGATGGATATATCATATGTATAATAATAAAAATATGCACATATTCTATGTGTATGTTTGCATATATAAAACCTCATGTACTTAAAATCAAAATGGAAATCATAACTATCACAGGTAAAGTTATATAAAAAACAAAATACGTTACAAAGTACTCTGCTATATGATGTGGTAAACTGTGAGTCCTCCGTTCACTCAGCTAGCAAATGAGGCCTCCATAATTCCTCCTCTGACTGAAAGCAGGCCACTGAAATAACACTGTACTCCTAGAGGAAGCCAAATCAGAGCAGAGAAAGTGCTTGTGAAACCATTTTCTCTCCTTCCTGGAAGGGAAAACAGAGTGGTCACCACTCTGCCTGAGGTCATAGCACCCTATGTCAGCAGGGTCCCTGAAGCCCAGATAAACTGCAGTCCCTTATGCAGCCCGCTGAGAAGAACAAAGGGAAACGGCACTCCACTTGTTGAATGTTTATTATTTGAGCTTAGCAGCCAACTATAATAACAGAGAGAGGAAGCCATCTGCAAGCTGTGTACAGATTTAGCCACTCAAATTCCATTAATGTAAAATACAACATTGAGGCTAAACCTTTAAACTTTACTGGACAACAGGCAAAGGAGGTGGTGGCTGGTAGTAAAAGCTGGGAGTCACTGATACCTGGGTCAGTAATTTGAAAGCAGCTTAAGAAAAAAGCAACTCACCCTGGGAAAATTTGCTTCCTTTTATTTAACCTATCAGTTCCCTGGAAGAAAAGCACAAATTTCTTCTTTCCTATGTCCCTGAAACTTGATATGAGGATGCTTCTCAAAGATGGGTGATCAACTATGAACTGCCAGTGTGAGATGACTCTAAGCTAGATGTGTCCTCTGGATGCTGTAGTCAGTGATGACTGTCCAAACCTCTCACCAGCTACCCACTCCAGTTCAGTTAGTCTCCACTCTCCAGCTAAGTGGGTCAGTCATTCCTTTATCATAATGATGAGATGCCTAGAGCCTATTACCTATAGGAACATAAACTAGAATTACTACATTGTGGCTCTGAATGTTGTGTAAATAGAAATTACAAGAATAGCTAGGCATGGTAGTATATGCCAATAATCCCAGTACTTGGGAGTCCAGGGCAAGCTGTGCATTTGAGGCCAACCAGGGATAAACAGCAATATCCTACCTCAAGGAGCAAAACAAACAAAAAACAAAGGTACACAAGGTAGAATTCATTTTAATGGGTAAAGATGAAGTGTGTCTATTGAAAGAGTTTAGCATGGATGTACTCATCATTCAGTTCCAAGGTCAACCACAGTACAAACTAAAAAGCAGTAACAAACTGGAGAAAAATATTTTTAAATGAACTATATCGTTAATCTTCAACATAAGAGAGATAAAGAAGAAATGAAGTTTAAAGTAAAAAGCCTTGACTATTCCAAAAACAGAAATAAACGGAAAACTCAAGAGTTTTGATTTTAAGTTCTAATGACACGAGTGACTACATGAGCCAAGTGATTCGCTCCTCTGTGCTCCTGTAAAGCCAACATTTGCTACAAAATTGGGGATCAAAATGCTTTATAAAGTATGTGTTGAATTTGAAGTTGATAAATGGAAAATCTGATCAATGACATATTTTAACCAATCACCTCTAAAATAACAGAAATAGCTATCATTTGCTAGTATCTAATAAGTCCTAGGACATTCATCATTTTAATTCTTACTTTTAAGTTCCCAAAGAGAGAAAGCCAGATTAAAGGAAAAACAAAAAACAAGCTCAGAGAAAGTTAAAAGGCTGTCATAAGGCCATTTACCTAGCAAAAGGCAAAGCAGTGGTTCAAACCATCCTGGATCTGAAGCCTATGCTCTTTCTCTTGTTCCAGAGAATTCATTTGGCATTGATAAGAAATAAGGCATTTACAGCAAAGTATGCTTTCAAGATGACTATATTTAACTTTAAATTTGTAAGGGCCTAGGTATAAAAATAATAAAATACTTCTTCTGCGTTCACCAACCATAATGGAAGCCTTTGTTCAGCATCGTGTGATTGGGTCATACTTTGCCATTGCTCAGCTTTCCAAAACTCCCTAAGGCTGAGCAGATAGCAGTTCCCGCCCCCCCACTTCACCCAAGCCATAGTGGCCTCCATGTGCAAACCAGGTAATTAATGGGACAGAAAGAAACATATGGGTCACATGGCCTTAGATAAGAGCCGAGGATGACTCCCACCAAAAACATCAGTCTAGTTCCACTATTTTCTTCTTTGCTTTCCTGTAGGCCATCATCTGTAGAGATGAGAGCCCTAGAAGACCAGACACTCAGGTAAATGGAGCCTTACTAAGTGAAATAACAGCATTTTTTTTTTCTGTATCACCTCATTATTTTAGATTCCAACTGAATAAATCCCTCCTTACTCCTCTAAAACTGTAATGGCAGTGTTAAAACACACTCTTCCCAAAGGTCATTAAGGGTAAATTATCAGGAGTCTTAGCTTTGTACTCGGATGCTTACTACCTGAGACACAGCATACATTAAACAATGCAATAATGACAGTGAATACAGTCAGTGGGAGGTGAAAGCCAAATGCTCTCAAGGAACACTTTCTTCAGAGGTGGAAGTACAGTCAGTACCACAGCACTTAATTAGAATGAGCAAGGTCTTGGGCTCTATACCTCAGCAAAAGAAGCACGTGCTTTAGCTTGAACCCAGTCTCCTGACATGGCTCCATCTCTCATCCCTAACTCAAACCAGCACAGGGAATGGATAAATCCTCCAGTCAAGGCCAGCACTGACCAAATAGCACTTGGTTGCTTTTTGGGTATGTCTCCTTTCCTCTGGCCAGGCAAACTGCAAACTCCCAAGGAGTTTCTAGCAGACTTTTTCAGAACCTCACAAAGTACCTTCCATATAATAAGGATGAAAAGTTCACCAAGTGTATAGAAAATCCACTGAATGCCTGACTATAATTAAACTTCAACCCTCCCCAGTCCTTCCCCATCACCCACACCCACGTGACTGATAAAATGTCTACAATAACAGAAGCATAAAAGAAATCCTTTTAGAAAAGTGAGATTTCGGGGTTAGAGAAACAGCTCAGTGGTTAATACTGGCTGCTCTGGCAGAGTCCAGTTTCCCACATGGTAGCTTCCAACCACCCAGAACTCCAATTCCAAGGGATGTGACACCTCTTCTAACTTCTACAGACACCAGCATGTGCACATGCAGGCATGCAGATAAAACATGCACAACAGAAATAAATCTACAAAAAGTTATTTAAGATTCCAGTAAGGTCCCAAGGAAAGTGTAATGCTCATTTATTTTCTCACAGATGACTGATTAATGCAAAACAACTGTTTTCACACACCAGGCTAACGTTTACCTCAATAGTTCAAACAGATAGTCTGTAGTATTTGTGTATGTGTATGAGTATGTGTGTGGTTCATGCCCTATCACTCTCCACTTCATTCCCTTGGAACAAAGTCTCTAACTGAACCTGGAGCCAGGCTAGTAGTCAGCAACCCTCAGCTATCCTCCTGTCTCAACCTCCCACAATGCTGGGTGCTGGAGACTTGAACTCAGGTCCTTAAGCCTGCATAAGCATGATCTCCTACCAATGAGCCATCTCCCCAAGCCCATAATCTGTATATTTTAGCTACATAATCCCCTCCATAGCTTTCTATACCGTGTCTGTCTAAATGATGAGAATTACAAGCACAATATTAATAATTAATTCTGTTCATTTGGATTTTCAGGCATTTATATTTATTAAGAATTTCTAAAACACAATGTCCCCTAATCAGGTCTTTAACTTATGCATCATGTCACCCATGTCCATGTCCTTCATCACCAGCTTTATTAACATTCTACAGTAAACTATTCATGCAGTACCTGTTAGCTTTGGATTGTTTCCAATGGACTTTTTTAATGCCCAAGTCCACACATGATTCAGTGAGCTCTATACTCAAGTCTCCTTCTGAGTCACCTGGAAGTACTCCGAGGTCTGCAGCGGACTCATAGAGAGAAATCTCATCTTTAAGCTCTGCTAATTCTTCCTAGAACAAAAATAACTTGCATTATTTACCCGAATAGCAAAATCAGTTATTTTGTTTCAGACTTTATTTTAGTGATCGGATCAGTAGAATGCAGAAAATCCTCCTCAAATGTACTAACATTCATTCTAACTAACTTCATGGTTCATGCCACATTTTCAAGTTAACCCAATGAATGAGGACGCAAAGACAGGCAGTTCTTTTCACAACCCTTTCATTTACAGAGGACAAACTACAAGGAGCCCAACAAGGAGCATGCTATGCTCTGCCTGCATGATCAACAGGCAGAGTACTTCCTTCAGCAGAGACAACACTAAAAGTCCTCTCCAGCAATTTCCTTAGCTTTTAGGGAAATTAAAGTGGAGGAGGATGTGAGAGAATCACATCCCAACTAAATATTCCCCACACCTGTAGAAGCCCTGGACCCTGGGATACGCCTGCAAAGGCAGGAGCAACAGTGGACAGACTGGCAGGAGGCAGAGGCCTGCTCTGCAGTTCGTCAGAACTGGGCTGGAATGCCTAGACCTAACTAGGTGGCTGAGATCCTGAAAAACTTGCCTAGGCTAGTATGGAGAAGGTCCAGCCTCTCTTATTACACAGGAAACCTAAGGTTCAAAAAAGGTGCTGTAGCATTGCCTAAGACTCTTCTAAGAGACAGCACTCACTTGCAACGCCTTATTCATGCTCTCACTTAGGATGTGGGCCTTCTGTGCTTGCTGCAACTGAAGCTGTAGCTGAGTCACCTCCTGCATGGAGCCTGCAAGAGAAAGTTATGGGATATGTTGCTGTCTTACATTTGTTTATGCTGTGGAACATTTGTTTAATGATGCAAAAATGTGTTGCATTCTTTTATGTTGCATTTGTTTAACTCTGTGAAGCTATGTTACTGTGGCTATCTAAAACACCTGATTGGTCTAATAAGAGCTTAACAGTCAACAGCAAGGCAGGAAAAAGGATAGATGGGGCTGGCAGGCAAAGAATAAATAGGAGAAATCTGAGAAGAAAAGATAAAGGAGAAAGAAGAGAAGGAGAGGAGCCACTCAGCTACACAGCAAGCCATGGACTAAGAAGAAGTAAAGAAAGGTATATAGAGAAATATAAAATCCCAGAGGCTAAAGGTAGATAGGATAATTTAAGAAAAGCTGGCTAGAAACAAGCCAAGCTACAGCTGGGCATTCATAAGTAAGAATAAGCCTCTGTGTGTGTTTCATTTGGGAGCTGAGTGATGGGCCACTCAAAGAGTAAGATTAAGAGTAAAGAACAACCAACAGCTATATGTTACTGAAAGGAGACAAAGTACCACATCTATAGAACTGAGATCCACCAAGGCGAATGGAGTCTGCTTCACTGTTATGATTTTAGAACCATGCAGATAGGGAGACCTCAAAGACCTAAATGTCTGCTCCTCATGTTCTGAGATTCAGTCCTCAAGGAGCTCAAGGTCTGGGCACCGGAACATTGCACCCGGTAAGCCCCATCAGCCACCCTGCATCTATAGACCACAGCATCCCAGGAGTCATGTAGTGGGGGACACAAGGTTCCAGCTTGCAGAAGCCAAGAAAGTTCTACCCAACCATTTCTGCCTTCCAATTAAACCATATCTGACTAGCTTTGTAAATACTTTTAGTTCCAACATCCCCCATCTCTGCACATAAAAAGGAGTACATTACAGCTGTATTTCTGAAATTTTAGCAAGCTGCTATTTATAAGATGTGTCTGTGTACACACACATCCACAGGGACCAGAAGGGGGTAATCAGGTCCCCTGGAGCTGGAGTTACAAGGAGTTGTGAGCCCCATGGGTGCTGTGAACTGGACTCTGGTGCTCAGCATGAGCAGGAAGTGCTATTCACCTTCGAGCCTTCTCTCCAGCCACAACAAACTAACATTTTAAATGTACTAGGACAGTTTGGAGGGCCATTTGAGAGTGTCTTTAAATGAAAACAGCCCTCTCAGAAATAGCTGAGGGAAGTAATCATAGTCTATTAGGCAGCTTTAGAAAATCCTACCTTCAAAGCCTTTAATAGCCAAGGAATAGACTCACCAAGTCATGGCAAGGGAGAAAATGGATCCAAAGCTAAGCAGGGTTAGAGGAGAGCCTGCATAGGACAGTTTCCAAATCTAGCCCCTCAGCAAGCACACACACATCCACAGGCAGCCTTTAACTTTAGTTCCACTGTGTGAGTACACTATACTTCTATACACTGCACCAGTCACCTAACTAGTTCATACACCAAAATGAGACTGGTATATTAGTTAATAAAAATTTTGATTGATTTTGTCAACCAGAATTAGAATAATTTTGTCTGTTCAACAGTCTGTGTATCAACATTGACATTTTATTGCCTTTAACATGATGGGAGATGTCATTCTGTATATGTTTTTTATACTGGTTAATGAATAAAGCACTGTTGGCAAATAGGAAAGGAAAATAGGAGGGACTAGGAGACAAGGAGGAAAGGGGAAGTAGTAAGGAGAGCCAAGATAGAGAGTCTAGAAAAGGTAGAACCACCAGCCGCATCTTCCTGGTAAGACCACGTGGAAATACATAAAAATGGGCTAATAATTAAGACAGAGCTAACATAAGAAACAAGTAACCGGGCCAACAGCATTGTATCAAATACAGAGTCTCTGTGTGTTATTTGGGGCTGGTGCGGCGGCGGGAACAGACCAGGCGGCAGGCGGAAAAACCGTACTCCTTACATTAACATCTTATTAAAAAAATAATAAAAAGTATCACTACCATGAAAAGCATAGGAAGCATGTCTCAAATACCACTGAGGCCACACTAGAAATCTTAACAGTGACATAAAAAATGTAATTTGCTGTCCTGTTAAGTAACTGACCTGTGAGGGCATAAAAAAATTGAAGATAAACAAAATGGCATTTAATCAAATATCGGGTCTAAAACAGGTAAATACAGTGAGATCTTATAATCAAAGGTAGCTGAGGACAGAACTCTGTCTTTGGGAGTGGAGCGCCACCTGGCATGTGTGTTCCTTCCCTCCACAGACTCAGACATCACAGCCCAGGTTTCTCAGAGGAGTGCTGGTGATTTTTATTTGGAACAGACACTTGTCTGTAACTTTCCAGATTACATAACAGAAACAAACTGGGCCTTTAATACAACCTGCCTGTGTAATCCTCCCTAAAAGAAACTGGTCACTGATGGACTTTTCTGTCTCTGTGGCTTTGTGTAGTTCAGTGATCCAGGCTGGTGAGATGGCCCACTGGGTAAAATCTCTTGCAGTGCAATTTGTGTCACGTTGTGGTAGCAAGCAACCTGAGTTTGAGTTCTAGCCTATGAAGGTTGTCTTCTGTTCTACACTGGAGCCTTGGCATGCACATGCAAGCCCACCCCCACCCCACCCCACACACACGCATTATCAATAAGTAGAGTAAAACTATAGTTCAGGAATGCAGCTACATTCTGTATCATTGTGGAATATTCCTTTATACTGTGTGAAGATGTGTCACTATGACCAGTTTAATAAAGAGCTGAATGGCCATTAGCTAGGCACAAAGGGGTTAGGCAGGATTTGTGGGGAAAGAGAGATTTCAGAGAGGAAGAAAGTGAAGTCACTAGCCAGATATGGAGAAAGCAGGATGGGCAGGAAAGAATAAAGGTAACAGAGCCATGAAAAAGAACAGAGGTTAAAAAATATGGGTTAATTTAAGTTGTAAGCACTAGTTAGGAACAAGCTTAAGCTAAGGCTGAGCTTTCATAATTAATAAGAAATCTGCACGTCATTATTTGTGAGCTGGCGGTCCCAACAAAAAACGTTCGAGTGCACTGTGCTCGTATCACAGTAGCCTCTGGGAAAACTCCCACAAGACACGCACCTGACTGCAGCAGATGGGCACACTGCTTCTGACTGTCCTCTAGACTTCTCGTCAACCTGTTAATAAGCTCAGTCTTCTCTAACTTGACAGCTTCTTGGTTCCTCTCCAGTTGCTGCACGTGATCCTTTAACCGGGTGCAAAGGTTTTCCTAAACAGAAGTCAACAAGTCATTGTCATGATCAGAGTTAGCAGAAATTAACAAAGTGTCAAATGTAAAGCCATCACCAGGTAGTGTGATATCTTGTATATGGTTAAGCTGTGCACAAGGTGAGAGTAACCTGGGGAACACCCAGCTATGAAAGGGCACCCCAAAACACTGCTATTCTAAAATCAGATTTTACTCATGCCAAAGGAAATATATTACAGTTCTGTTTTCATTTTATGCTGTGTTAACGTATATATACAAATGTAGGCAAACCACTTTGAGTCACGGAATCTGTACCCTCAGACAAGGAAACAGATGAACACATGGAAACTCTATTCTAAGCAGCCAAAGGCTCATTCTATTCAGGGCAGCCAAAAATAATCTTTCCCTCCTCTGAGTTGCTTTTAAACTCGATCTGTTTCTCTTATATTCCTCTTTCTACCTTTTACACATCTTATTTCCCTTGTCTTCTAAAGGCATCTCTGTAGTATACTATGCATAACAATGCATGGTATAATGAATTCTTGAAAAATTAATGGTAAAAAAGACATAGTAATTGTTGAGTGAAATGTATGAGGATATATAAAAAATATACACTATGCGACAAGGATCTTGTGGCCTACTGTGCAAACATTTCTCCAAAAAAAAAAAAAAAAAAGAAGCCTGAGAGTTTGAAGTCCAAGTAGAAGAAACCATCACTGTAACAACCATCACTTCTCACCAAAAAGCTGCTCAGGCTGAATGTCAATCAAAGCATGAAAGAGGCAGAAGAATCAGTGTAACAACAGCCTTAAACTTCCAGAGAAGCCCTAAGAAAACCATTAGTGAGCTCTCCGAAAGGAGGAGAACATGTGGGCCTTTGGTAACAGATCCCTTGCACAGCCTAGACCTTAATAACGCTCTCAACACGAATACAGCAATGCCCAACATGCGAACAATACAGGGGTGTCCTGTGCAAAGGAAAGGGCTCTGAAGGCTCTCGCTTTGCTTTAAAATGTCTGTGAATTTTCGATTCTATGTCATAATGCAGCTGTGTTTGCTTTAAATTTTTCTAGCAGACTTTTAGCAAAATGAGGCTTCTGGAAAGCGGTCCATGTTTATTTAGCGCTGCAAAATTCTTGGCATGCTGCTGCTGTTTCCCAGGCCAGCTTGGGAAGCAGAGCTCTAACAAGGCAGCATAACATGGCTGATGCACTGAGAGCAATGCAGTGCAAACGCTGCTTGTTGTGAAAGGGTGACAAGACACTCAAATTCATATTCCAGAGGTCACAACAGTTTTGAATTGCTACACTGTGGTACGCACAGTCTTTGCTACACTGAAACTCTGATGTTTAAGGAAAGCACTAAGTTAGTACTGTGCTATAACCATCTATTTCTCAAGTCACACTAGGTACACAGACATTCAAAAAAAAAACCTCTGCGATGTCAGAAATGCCACACTCCAAGTACATGCAACTAGTCAGTCTCTGTACTCACTTCTCTTTCAAAGTACAACACCCACTCACGATTTAAAAGAAAAGTAAGTCTTAAGAACATTCCCAACTTTTCATTAAAGAGAAAGAAATCTAGATCTAGCCTTCCCACAAAGATGGGGATCAGAGAATGGATGTCCCTGCTTGCCCTTGAGCATCTTGTTGGAAGTTCTTGCCAATGGAACGATGGTAAGAAAATGAAATAAAGGAATACAAACTACAAAGAAGACAGTAAAACCCTCTTTGCCTATGAAATGACAGAATCTGCTACACAGAAGGGGGAACCAACTAAAACTAATAAGCAATTCCAGAAGAGCTGCAGAGTGTCGCTAATGGGAGAATCATTTTCCCATCTACCACAATGAAATTTTTAAAAAATTTACAATAACACTCCAAAAATGAGGGTCTTTAGTAGAAATGTAAAGCATGTATAAGATCTAGTTGGAGTAACAACAAAACTCTGAAGAAATCAATAAAGAACCCTATAACTGTAACAGCTGTCTATGTTCACATTGGGAATACTAAGCATCATCAGGGTGTCACCTGCTCCCAGTGAGACCTGCCTAGTCTCTACTCTCAGCATACCAGCAAGTTACTTTGTGGGTGTCAACAAACTGAGGATCTTAGATTTACACGAAGGGCTCCATATACCACCACCACACTGTGAACATGTTGAGGAACTAATCACAGAGGGCAGGAGGGGAAATTCTTATCTTTTTCTTACTTTTGGCATGAACTTGACTTTTGTAGCATTCTTCCAATGAGGAATGCCAATTGGAGCATAAAATAGTACAGATCAGCTAAAACAAGTACTTTGACTCCTTATTACAAATACTGCTGAATCAACTGATAACAAGTCTACAAAGTGGATACCATAAAAAACACTCCCAGGGTGAGGGGATAAGTCACAGTAAATACAATTCATGATTTGGAATCTGAAGCCCACTCGGCACAGAACCAATAGTCTGTTCTATCTTCTAGCCTAAGGTTCTTCTTCTGAAGTGGTGATGGCAGGCATGGGAACAGATAAAGAAGCCAGAGGCACAGGCTTTGACTCATTAGCTGGCCTTTAATAACCTCAGGCTGGAAGGAACTGGTTGTACTAGAGCAGGAAGAACCAGGGAGGTTGTCCTAACTGCCACTTTGGGATCTACCAACATTTGTACCAACCATTCCTACCAGAAAGGTTTCCAAACACACTAGTAATTCCTCCCATTACATCCCAGTGAGATAGTGTCAAGTCCGCGGAGGTAATGCTCGCCAAACAGCCCACAGGAGCTGACAGACTCCACTTTCCTAAATCTGTCAAGGACCACTGATGACTGTAATACCACTGTGTTTACCAAAGGTAATATGAATACACAAACATTTTAAAGTAAAATAAGAACTATCTTCTAACTATATAGAAGGTCACTGAGATCTATAGACTTTGGGTCTACTTAATTTTGGTTCATGATATTTTTTATAATAAAGTTTATTTAGAAAGTAGATAAATAAAAAGTCCTTAGACGATTAAAAAAAAAGGAGGGGGGTCAACCTCAGGTTCTGGCCAGTGGCAGTACTCCCATTCCTTTCAGTTGGCATTTACTCTATAACAATATGAATATGCATAAATACTATACAAAATAAAGTTTGACTAGCACTGTTAGGTCCGAGAAGGTACTAACTGATCCTACAAGAAAGGTACCCAAAATCAGGGTTTTAGACATATTCATGACTTTAAAAAAAGGTTGTATGTGTTGGGGGGAGTTCGGTTATAATTTTATACCTATTATCAGCAGCAAAATTTCTAACTGGGGGACCACAAAATATTAGTTACAAAAAATAAGCAGCTTTATTCGATGAATAGTTGCTCATTGGGTGTCACCTGACCTGCTCCTGAAGTGCTGTTCGGGTTGCATCCAAATCCTTCTGTAAGGACAGCACCTGCTCTTCGTACTTCTGTGTGAGGCCCGAGACGATGCTCTCATGCTGTTCTCTGGCTCGCTGGAGTGATTCAGAATGATGGAGCTCCACCAGCTGCTGTTTCAAGTTTTCCAGGGTGATTTCAGTTGTTCTGGCCTTCTTGGTCAACTAGCAAACATACACAAGATACCCATCTTGATAGCTCTGCTCTGCAAGACTGTCCCTGGCTACTACTCACAAGCTCACCGTGGCTGGAACAATTCCTCACTCACAACTAGACTGCCCAGTTATGTGCAGAGGGTAAATGAGGATTCTGAAGAGCACAGTAGCCCTGCTGTAGTACCAGGCCTAGCACTGTTTGCATGGCTCTATTAGGAAAAAGAGGGACAACCCAATTGTGGGGTCATAGAAAAATGTGACGCTCCTTCAAAGACTGCAAACCTACACATGGTCACTTACTAAATAAAGTTTTTTGGTTTTATTTTCTGAGACAAGATCCCACTGTTTGTCTGCCCAGGTTGGCTTCAAATTCCCAGGCTCAAGTGATCATCTTGCCTCAGCTCCCTGAGTAGCTAGGACTACAAGCACATGCCACCACATCCCAGCAGAATGAGTTCTGATAGCACAGCTAATACTGTGGGTAAAATAACGACCCACAGACAGTTTCCCAATACCCTAAATCTGTGATTGTGTCGGCTTTATGGCAAGAAAAAATTAAAGTTGTAAGTGGGATTAAAGTTACTAAGCAAATAACCTTAACATGAGGAGACTCTAAAGGAATCTATTCAGTTCAAGATCTTTACACTCTGGGGATTTGTCAGTAACTGACTGTATGCTCCAGGGCAAGTAATTTGCTCTTCTAAGACCTGCTTGACATGTGCATAAAGTGGTAGAGTAGCTTTCTAATCAGAATTCCAATTGGATTTTTGTTTTATAAAACATTAAACACTGATTTACAAAATCTAAAGAAAAAAAAAACCAAAGGATATTTTCAATGTTTGAAATAGGAATAACCTTTGTTTCCCAATTTTAAAATACATCATAAAGCTACCATCATGACAGCACTCAAACAAGAACAGAAAATATGTAAGAAAAAATTTGTACAAGTTAATTTTAAACAGATCACTCAGCATATACTGACCACCAACTAAAAGCCAAATACTGGCCTAAATGACAGAGCTATAAGCATGAGGCTAGCCTAGTGATGCCTTCAAGGTATGCTTCACTTTTTAGAAGAGAGTAATTACCCTGAGGAAAGAGACTCAGAAGTAAAATGCTATAAGCAGGAGTAGTTAGTCAAATGGCAATAGTCATGGAATAGGCATTCCCAAGAAGAGGCAGTGTTCATGAGCATTCAAAAACAAGACTCAGGAGGGAAGAGATGAACCATGGACAGAAGGTCACCTTGACCCACAGGTAAAGTAAGTCATGCAAAGCTGATGGGAGATGCCATTATGTAAATACGTTTCTCATACTGGTTAATGAATAAAGCAATGTTGGCCAATAGGAAAGGAAGATAGGAGGGACTAGGAGACAAGGAGGGAAGAGGAAGTAGTAAGGAGGAGTCAAGATGGAGAGTCTGAAGAAAGCAGAATGCTGGCCAGCTCCCTGGTAAGAGAAGACCACGTGGAAATACTAGATTAACAGAAATGGGTTAATAATTAAGACAGAGCTAGCCGATAAGAAACTAGTAACGGGCCAACAGAATTATATCAAATACAGAGTCTCAGTGTGTTAATTGGGGCTGGCGCGGCAGGACCAGACTAGCGGTGGGAGGAAAAACCTTACTCCTTACACAAAGCCTGTAAGAGAATAACAAAATTGGAACTATATTCTGGAAATGTTAATCTGGGTGTTCATAGAGAATTTGCAGAAAGAGTAAAACTAGACTAACTAAGAGACTTTTGGGGTAAGGACACAAAACTCAGAAAGGGCATAAATACTAGCATCAACAGAGAATAACCGCCACCTCCTCCTGGCACCCACAGATGACCCTGGCAGGACATCTGTGATAAAATGTTCTTCTGAATGTAGTCTTATACAAACTAAAAGCTTACCTTTTCTTCACTAACTTTGAAGGCTTGAATCTGGGCCTCCAGTGTTTTTATCTGTGCTTCAAGCTGGATCTCCCTTTCCTTCCCATTCTGAAAGAGTTTCTGGGATTCCCGAAGGCTAAGGGTCAAGCCATCCTTCTCATCTGGAGCATGAAAGATATTTACATAAATACTGTCATTGTTGTGGAACCATAATTATCACAACCTCTATGAAATCTATAACTGAATGAAATTCAATTCAGACAAATGCGTTTTAAGTGCTTTAGAGAAAAACGACAACAAAAAAGAACTACTAAAAAAATTTTGATGACAAGAATAATTCAAAGAACCAGCACCACTGCCTTTAAACCCTTAGTGCATCCCTTCATGGCAAGAGGGTTCCCAATACTTGCAGCATCTGTTCACTTAAGGACCAACACAGATGCAAACTCGTGCCATCAAAAAGGAATCCCAGAGCAGGTCAGTTATATACACCCATGATCCCAGTACTGGGAGGACTACACAGTGAGCAGCACTAATCACAATGTATCTGAGAACTAATCATTCCATTACATTTGTGTACAGAAGTCTTAAATTCCCCAGTCTTTTTGGTCCTTCCCAAAAATACTTCACCATAACATTTCACAAATTCTCTCCAAAAAGATCTTTGTGAGCATCACAAAAAGACCTTTTTTTGGTTGGTTGGTTTTTCGAGACAGGGTTTCTTTGTGTAGTTTTGGAGCCTGTCCTGGAACTCACTCTGTAGACCAGGCTGGCCTTGAACTCACAGAGATCCGCCTATCTCGGCCTCCCAAGTTCTGGGATTAAAAGCGTGCAACAACAGAAAAAAAAAAAAAAAAAAAAAAGAGCTTTTGTTTCACTATCAATTAAATTTGAAATGAGCTGGAATCCAGTCAGAAAATCATTCTACAAATGGATACTCAATACACTGACTAAAGCTGGAACACAAAAGAATAAGAAATCAGACCCTATCTGTTTCCTCCAGATTACACCAGAAATGGCGACTAGAGTCCCTAACTTCTTCTGCACTGCAAACTAAACATGTCACCTCTAAGTGGAATACTTTATCGAGGTAATGATGTAAGGAGTCAATGGCTGGTAGGGAGGAAGGTCATCCCGTAAACACCTGAGAGGAGGGACAAAATGAAAGTAAAGGAGAAAAGAAAAATGCCCACAGACACTAGTCACAGAAGTCCTGTCTGGGCTTGGGATCTGTTCCAACTCACATGAGCCCTCTGCCCAGATCACATGAGGATACTGGAAATGAAAAACCCAAGAAGCTAGAACAAAATAAGGTGAATTTATTAGAAACCAACGGCCCAGGTCAGAAAAAGCTCCAAGCCAGCAGCCGCCTCACCTTGAATTATCAGAAGCTGGTGGTTCAGATACCGAATCTGGCGTTCACTGTCGTTCAGCTTTTCAACTAAACTGTCCAGTTGTCTCTCCTTCGCTTTGTTAAGAACCTGGAGTTGAATAATATGTATATTTTCTGCAGAGTCTGCTTTGGAATTAGAGACAATTTATTAGATAAAAAAACATAATAGAATGTAAATCTGTGCTCAGCTAGGGTAGTGTATTTCAAGCTTTTTAAACAACTTGGTGAAATATCATGAAACCGATTCAGGGGATTGCAACTAACATCCTTTTGAATATGAAGACAGATTATACAGAATGTATCAGAGAGCACCATGTAGTGAGGATCTGTATTTTGTCTAGAACTGGTTTCATTTACTACTACAGGACAAACTGCTGGCTTTACTATGGGTCACCGCCAGAAAAGCAGGAATGTGTGTTGTCCAGTGTGGACAACTAGCACGCAGCTGCAACAGAGAAAAGTGTTCTAGACAAACGAGGGGCAACACACAAGCACAGAGCTGCTGTCACACTATCTGAAAAGAACACCACTACCTACACTTGTCAAAACAGCTTCTTACAGGAGGGTGAATCATTATTTCATGTTCATACTGGTCCATAACAGCTACATTCATTAACTAATAAAGAGAGGAATAAATTCTTACATCTTCATCAGAAACAAAGTTATTGTAGAAAAGATTTAGATTGTAAGAAAAAGAAAATGATAGGTATAAGAAGATATTCTTCATTTTCCACTGTAAGCTTATGGTCAATAATACATATAAAATTTTTAAAGATTAACAAAATAATTTGTACTCTTTTCTACATTAAAAAAAAAGAAAAAGAAAACAGAAAATTTAAAGGCCAGGCATGATAGTACCTGCCTTTAATCCCACCATTCAGGCAAAGGTAGACAGGAGTCTGTGAGTTCAAGGCCATCCTGGTCTACATAGCCAGTTCCAAACTAGGGCTTCTGACCAAGACCCTGTCTAAAAAGAAAAGAAGAAAATCTAGATAGTGAATGCATCTCTCTCAACTTACAGGAGGGGACAGAAATGAATTGTCTCAAAGTTCTACCTCTCCAAATTCACTTTTTTTTTTATTAACTTTAATTATTATAAAAAATAATTTGCAAAAAAAGATTACACATCAAAATTAACCAGATCCAAAGTCTTTACACTTCAATGAACTTCTGAATGGAGAAGCCATTCTGAACAGGAGCTGTGAAACTTCATCAAAAACCAAAAATCCAAGACAGAGTTAGAACTAGAAAAGCAGTTAGTTTACGCCTTCTTTCATAATTCCTATTCACTACCTGTATTCAGCCCTGCCTCTTCCCCTAAGATCAGCCTTTCTTGTTCTCCTCTTCATGCTTTACTATACCCACATGTGCATCTGTTTACATATATGCCTGTATTATTGCTAGGTTCCCAATTCCCACATGAAGAACACTCAGGGTTTTCTTCCTGAGGTTGTGTGACCACGACTGAACTCATTGTTTAACTGCTGTTGCTAGGAAATTTGGCACTACCATCAAGTTATGTCTAAATGATTAATTTCTAAATGTCAACTTTAAAGAAATGTATAATCACCTTAGAAATAAATTAACTTAATAAAATGCAGACTTTTTAAAGAACAATAATGAAAGACACAAAGAGCAGACGCAGACATGACTGTGTGATGAATGCCACTCCATCTCAAATCACCTCAGCCACATGCTTGTTCTGCTTCTTGGTGGCACTTCAAATAGAGAGAAGCCACTCCTACACTTGCTGTTGATGTCTTCAAGTCAAGTCTGGGACTCCCAACAGCAATTCTGTGGCTCATATAAGCCTAAAGCAACACTCTGTGACCAGATAAAGAAGGCCAGTTTTCTCTTCAACCTAGCCAGATGTCCTATAGTATATAGGACAACCTCTCCAATCACTCTAGAATCATAACGGCTCTTCAACATACATAATAATTCAAAGTTAATTCACCAGGAGCATAGTAATAAAAGCTTCCATCTATGAAAACACTAAGGCTAGTCACTGCATAGCTTTTTTGTTGAGGTTTTTTTTCTTTTCTAAACAAGCGTTTTATCTCAAAATCCTCTAGTGGCTTTAAGTGTTTTCCTTATGATCATATTTATATACATTCTACATTAAAGAAAGAAAAAGGCTAGGGAGTGTGGCAGTTTGAATAAAAACTGTCCCATAGACTTGTTTAAATGGTTAGTCACCAACGAGTAGCACTATTTTAAGGGATTAAAAGGGTTAGAAGTGGCCTTCTTGAAGGAAGTATGTCACTGAGGGTGAGCTTGGAGATTTCAAAAGCCCATGCCAAGCCCAAAGTCAGTCAGTCAGTCTGTCTGTGCCTCTCTCTCTCTCTCTCTCTCTCTCTCTCTCTCTCTCTCTCCCCCTCCCTATGGATGATGCAACTCTCTACTGCTCCAGAGCCAGCATGCATGCCACCTTGCTCCCTGACATGGACTAAACCTCTGAAACTGTAAGCAAGTCCCAATTAAGTGATTTCTTTTATAAGAGCTGCCTTGGTCATGGAGTCTTCTTCATAGGGGTCCTACAGGGACTAAGACAGGGGACAAGTGATGTATAACTAAACCTGAGATCAACATCAATTCTGAGTACAATCTTCAAGTAAAAACTATAAAAATAAAAGAAAAACTAAGAAACTGATAATTTATTTATTAATTACATGTCTACAGAGTGAGTAACCCAAGGCTGGTGAGCTACGTGTATTTGTGTTCCAAAGCAGACAGGAAAGACTCTAAGTTTGGTTAACTGAAATACTCAGTGCTAAAACTTTCCTCTGACATTTTATTTTCAAATAATGCTACATTAGAGAGCACAGTACAATGAAACCCAAAGAAATAGTTAGAATTCATAACAGTTTTATTGTATCTTTACCCCACTAACAACTCCCTACGAACTCTTGTGAGGTGTCAGAATGAAAACAAGGGCTTACAAATGCCACACATGCCACCTGCCATGGAGCTGCAACCACAGCCCTTGGCATTTTTGAGACAGGGTACAAGCTCTCACCAGGAATTACAGGCTATCTTGGATGCTCTCCCCATGTACACAGGATGGCCTTAATGCTCTCACTGTGTACTCAGGCTATCTTGGATGCTCTCACCATGTACACAGGCTGTCTTGGATGCTGTCACCGCGTACACAGGCTGTCTTGGATGCTCTCACTGTGTACAGAGGCTGTCTTGGATGCTCTAAGCACTCAGGCTAACCTTAACTGGTGCCAGATTCTCCTGTCTCTCCTAAGAGCTACAATTACAGGTGAACCAACAATGCCTAGTTCAATAAACTATTTATTTTGAAATAAACATTAAAATGTGTATTAGTTTGCTCATAAGTACCTCAGTATATATCTTTAATATAAGGAAATAAAGGCTCTTTGAAACATCAACAATTCTACTATTGTTACTTTAAAAATATTAATTCTTGAATGTATATATAAAAATTCAAGAAGTGTTCAAAATTCCCCAATTATGCTAATGAAAAATGATACCCCTGGGTATAGTAACATAACTCTAAGCAGGAAGACCGCCATGGGTATGACACCAGCTTGGGCAACACAGAAAGGCCCTAGCTCAAAACAAAACAAAACAAAGTAGTCAAATAAATAAATATAAACAGAATACCTACTTTCATTAGCTCCTAAAAATTGTTGCTGCAGGCCTTCAAACATGTCACTTGCTGTTATCTCCTGGGCTGGTGAGCTAGCGCTCTGGCCAGAAGACTGGTAAGGTTTATATATCGCTTTATATGGCTCCAAAGCTTGACAGTTGGGTCCTTGAGATGAACCAAATTGCTATTAAAAGATGATAAAGTTAACAATTAAGATTTTATCTTTTCTTCCAAAGGTACTTTACTAGACACCTCCCTCCACCTTTCAAATGCTGAAATTACAGATGTACACCACTACTCCTGATTTATGCAATACTGAGATTGAATCCAGAACCCCAGGCAAACATTCTACCAACTGACATACAACATCCCTCAGTATATACCTTTAATATACAGAAATAGGAGCTCAGCCCATAACCAAATATCCATAGACATTTTTGCTCAAATACTAAGAATAGTTTCCTAGTCCTCTTGAGCATACTAAGGAGTCAATTTCAAAAATAAAACTTAAGAATTACAATGAGAGTTGCACCATAAATGATTAAAGTAATATCACCATCTTGGGAACATAAAACATGCTCAATAATGAGAACATGTGATACCATTTCACGTACAATAAATTCTCAATTATTTTCCAATGAATAACATTCTCCAGAAAGAGAGAAAATAACTACCTTTTAATAGACCAAAAAAAACAAAAATCATGTAATTGAATGATACAGAATAGCAATTGGGAAAATGAACCACCTCTTGTCATTGAGAAATTCTAAGACGCTCTATCTCCTGATGCCTTCTCAGAACTCCCAACAGTCAGTGCATGGTGGGCTCCCTTAAGAGTCGCCCATCTACAGCTGTGACACCACACAAAGCAGGAACTGGATTTGAAGTGTTGGACCTAACTTCCTTATAAAACTGGAGAGCATTGAAACAAAGGGAATGAAATGCTGTGATCACAAGACACCACTGCTTTAAGAACAGCATGTTTCTCAGAGAAGCAGCCTCACAAAGACAGAAGCAGTAAATGAGGGGCAGACTTAACCTTTAATGTTTAAACAGCTATTCCCAAAATCTCCTATTTAAACATCAGGCTTGGCATGGCAATTGCATTTGAATACAAACAGAAACAAATTTAGCAGGACCCTGAGAGAGTGGATTAAGAAAAACTGTTATAAATCACTTTACCTTTGCATTCTCACATTTCCTTAAACACACTAACACCATGCATGTACATGTATGCACACAGAATCTTCAAAGTCATATTCTCACAGTACCTGAAACTTGTCCCTCTGAGGATCTGAAAACGTAATGACACCAGCTGCCTGCTTGTGGAATTCCTGCTTCTGACCACCGGTGAATGGCCTAAAGTCCTCAGGAAGGTGATACAAATCTGCCGGCTCATGTTTACTTGGAGGGCTATAGCCACTTCCGCCTTCATCCTCTCCTTCTCCAGAATGGTACCCAAGATGCTGGTCTTCAGTTTTACTTCGATTTTCTTCCCAGCCATTGCCACACTGTTCTCCAAAATATAAATCCAGTATAGTTCTATTAGTCAACAAGAGTAAAACAAAAGCACTAAGACCTACCCTACCTGCAGCAACACTGTGGTCACAATAGCACTTACATTCACAATGTGGGATTTGGGCAGTACGTCAGGCTCAATCCACTTCCTCTCCAGTTGCTCAGAAGGGTGCAGTCTTGAGAAAAAAAAAAAAAAAAAAAAAAAAAAAAATACTTTAGATCTCCACTCTATCATATATGGCCAGAAATAACAAAAAGAAACCCAAGCTTCTAGTGTTTGTTTTTCCTTCAACCTCAACCCAAAAGTTTCAGAAATCAGTCTAAAGTTTACATCATTATCATAAAGAATCAAAGGAAGTTTTGTGGAGTACAACAAACAAGAGGAAGTGGTCCAGGTCCTTACCCTCCCACTAGGCCATCCACACTGCAGTCAGAATCGTGGTGCTCAGGAGAAGAGAGGAGGTCGTCATCCAGCATGTCATGAGGGAGGTCCGTGAGTAGCTGCTGCAACTGAGTCAGGAGTCACATCAGCATCACTTACTGACACAAGGCACTACCCAAGCTGTCCTGAAGCCCATGACTGCACACACAGAATTCTTACTCCTCCATTTAATGAGTTTCTGAAACTGCACATGAATCATGTTCATAATGCCACTTGAGGAAAGGGGAAAGCGTGACAGCAGGATTAACGATTAATGGCAGGCCTTCCTTTTTCTACAGGGGTGTTGGGTTTAAAAGCAACCCTAAATCACTGTGCTCACCCCCAGCATCTGCCGGGTTCCTCAGAGCACACCTGCCTTTCAGGATCCCACTTCACCAGTCATCAGGGGCGTTACAATCACATCCCACAGGAAATCTGGGTTGCCGGTGTACTCTGCCCAGGTGGTGGGAACAGCAGCAACAGCATATGGTCTAGGAGCCCTTAAGCTCTGGTAATGTGCTTGACACCCTCTAGGGAGTGACTGATTAGAGACAATCACCTAACCTCCAGGATGAGGAAGAAGCAAAAGTGTGCAGTAAAAAACAAAACAAGGTTGATTTCAGTATCAATATGCAACTGTAGAACAACAGGAGTGATGGGAGTGGGAAAGATGGATCCGCAGATGCCATATATCCATCTTTCCAGCCTCCAACCCTCTATCATCTAAAATTCCATTATTAACCTGGCTATACGTTTTGCTTTGTTGAAGCTTAATGAATCATAAATCATGATCAGTTGTTGAACACTGGGCCCAGGGGCTTTCTTCCACATAGCTCACCTCTTTTTCCCTTTCATAGTCTTCTGTGTCAAATTCTTCACCTTCATTCTGTGTCTGCAGTGCTACACTGCCAAACTCCAATGACATGGTCCTCCTGAGGGTGGAGGGAGAACTCCACATGCAAAAAAACAAACACAAAAGCCATATGACAACAACTCATAAATGCAAAGAATCATCAAAACAGTGACCAGGTTTCCCAAGTGGCTAGGCGGTATTTAAACAGTAAGATGACTGTAAACAAAAACTTAGAATGCTAACAAACTAGACTGACCAAACACAGAAACCTTGAGAATCAGCAAAAGAGAAGCCTCAGGTTTATGCACTGAACACACGAAGGATCCTCAAGACTCTCTCTGCCCATGCTCAGCACTCCACCTAGGCTCCTCACACCGGGGAAATGAACTTTTGTGTGTGTTCTGAGCCACAACTCATTCACTACAACTTCCAGGCTGTAAAAAGTCATTAAACTGAGTCATATAAGAAGCATATAGAGCCAGCAACACAAATGCATTTTGCCATAAAGAATATAACTCCCTTTAGGGAGTTAGTCCTGTATAAAACAAAAACCCCCTTTAACAGCTCTAAGACACCCATATTATATGATGTAGTCTCATTTTACACTAAGAATAAGAAACCTATTCAATTATGACACAACACTACTTTTAAATTACAGACTATTTTATAGCTGTTAAAATATGAACACAAAATCTGTGCATTTGACCAAACACGGCATAAAACACACAATGCACAATCGCACTGGGAATGGGAGCCTCGTCTCTACCCAGGCTCTGCTGGAATTCTCTTTATATATCATAAAAGGAAGAGCAGAATACACTAACGGAAGATGGCTGATATGGTGAGAAGAAAATGCTACTCTCACATGTCTAGGTTCAGCTCATTTCTCCAAGAAGACATCTCAGATGATGGAGACAGAGACATACTTTAACCTGTCACCCTAAAGGTGTGAACAAAGTTGAGCTTAAGGTGTCCTCCAGGAAGAAAAAAGATCCTTCCAGAGACTGGAGAGTTGGCTCAGTGGTTAGGAGCACTTGTTTCTTCAGCAGAGGACCCAGGTTCAGTTCCCAATATCTGCATGGCATTTTGCAACCATCTGTAACTCTAGTTCTAGGAGAAAGGAGGTCCACGTCTGGCCTCCATAGGCACCAGGCATGCAAGTGATGCAGAGATATACTTGCAGGCAAAAGGCCCATGCACAGAAAATAAAAATACATTTTTAAGCTCTATAAAGAGAAAGGCACCAGGCATAAATCAAATAGTATGTATCACAAAATACATTAGTAAAATCAGGAGCACCAGGCAGTGGTGGCACACACCTTTGATCCCAGCACTCGGGAGGCAGAGGCAGGCGGATCTCTGTGAGTTAAGAGACCAGGCTGGTCTCTACAGGAAGTTCCAGGACAGGTAGGGCTACAGAGAAACTCTGTCAAAATCAAATAACCAAATAAACAAGCAAAAACGAAGAGACAAAATTACAAAAATTGTAAAACTATTTACAACATGCTTAATAAAAAGTAACAAGAAACATTGTTCCAAGTTGTCATTTTCTCATTTTAGAAAGATATATAAAACTCATTTAACATTATCAGTCCGAGCTCAGGCTCAGGAAATGGCTCAGTGCATCAACATTCTTGCCATCTGAGTGTGAAGACCTGAGTTCAAATCCTCAGAACCCACATTAGAGCCAGGCCCACAGCACAGACATCTGTAATTCCAACTTCAACAAGGAGATGGGAGGCACAGACAAGAGACTGTCCAGAAGGTCATGGACCAGCTGGCTCACCCCACACACTAGAACAGCAACAGAGATTGTCTCAAACAAGGGGAAACCAAGGACTGACACCACAAATTGCTCTCTGACCTCTATACATATGGCATGACACTGGCACAGCTATATTTATATATACAAATACACACACACACACACACACACACAATCTCATACACATAGCTACATACAAAAACAGGTTAAATCCATGAAGAATTCAGGAATCGTAACATAAGTTATGAAGTGCCACCTTCAATACTACACTGAAAACAGTCACACTTAACTATGTTTTTTGAAGCTTAATAAACTGCTGGCAAAATATGAGCAGATAAATCATCTTGAAAAGTATCAACACAAAATGAACATGTGCCCCAGTAAAATTGCCCCTGGGTGAATATGACAAAATCGTGCATTAGTAGAAATAATGACCTACTCCTATACTTGACCAGAAAGTTGACCACTTTAAAACACACACACACACACACACACACACACACACAATCAAGGCATAGACTACATGGATAGTGTGCTTTTTAAAATACAACTACTTGGTTAATATTTTCATCCTAGCCAGGAAACTCTTCCTAACTCCTCATATAGGACAGACTCAGACGAAACAAACCTTTGACCCAGCACTCACTTTTCTTCAGAATTGTCCCTGGTCATTTTCTAGTCGTCACCCCCTCCCAACACACACACATGGGATAAATATTTCCAGAATCTTGCTTTTGTGACCAAACTTTAATGTATATTTTCTTTTTCAAAAATGTTTTTTTTAATTATGAGTGAATACAGCCACTGGATCGTAGACCTTAATAGCGCTGGAGTCACAGGTGATTGTGACCTCTGCAATGTAGGAGCTAACAAATGAAGTCACATCCTTTACAAGAGCAATGACAAGCTTTTAACTGCTGAACCAACTCTCTAGCAGCAGTAGACAGGCTCTTCCCATAGACCTTAGAGGACGCAATATGGCTATAAGCAACTAAGCACTGAAGGTCCTCATTCAAACACCTGGACTCTGGCAGCTGTGCAACCTTAAACTGCTTCCATTTCTTTACTAATGAAACAACGCAAAAATAGCGAGGAGTGACCGTAACTGTCTGTGGGTAACCTACACGAGGACTCCGCCCTCCTCTAGATGCCAGCTCCATCAAAAGGCCTTTCTGCGCACATCCAGAGGGCTCTTATTATCCTTTGCATGTGGCTTCAAACTTAAGCCTTTATTTACATGAAAGCAATCACGTATTGTGAAGCTATAAAGTGAGACTCGGCTTAAGTCACATTAAAATTCATGACTACAAGAACTAAATGTAAGTGCCCTCCCTGGAAGTGCCCACCCACTAGCTTACACGCTAACTTCTCTTACAAGAATGGAAACAGCTAGCACGCAACAGGTTCCAGACACTTTCCAAGTGCGCTGCTCTGACTACAAAGGGCACAAAGACGCACTGGAGGCGGGGGCAAACACCCAAAGACACGAATGATGACAACCTCAAGCGATCCGTGGTACCGACAACAGCTTGGACAAACCAGGGTGGGCAGAGGACAGCAACGATGTAGATACAGAAAGCTACCTCTACCTAGAGCCCTTACCTAAGAGCTGGGCCCGGCGCCCAGGAACCCGGGGCGCGCACAGGTCTGCGGGTGCAGCGCCTGGACCGACGGCCAGGCAGCGAGCCAGCGTGCACAGCCGCCCCGGTGCAGGAGACTCGAAGGAGGCTCCCGATCCCGCACCAGCCAGCCGGGTCGTGAGGCTACACTCACCGAAACGCCCTCCAGCAACCCGCTACACCTACTTCCAGCCCGCGAGCACCTTCCCGGTACAACCTAGCCCGCGAACCCCGCCACTCGATGAGCAGCCGCCTCCTCCAATCACCGCCGCCGCTTGATGGGCCGGCAGACTGGGCGGAGCGACAGGGCGGAAGGCCCGCCTCCCACATGGTCGGTTGAGAGGCAGCCCGCAGTTGCTAGAGCGCGGCTGTTCGAAGAGGGCGCCAGTGGCGGCGGGAAGCTCCCCCGAGCCCCCATTGGGGGAAGTCGTAAGCCAATCACAAAGGCCTTCTGAGAGGGCGGGCTTTAGGTTGCCTAGATACGGCGGAGCTTTTGCCCTTTCAGAGGTGGGTAAGCTATCACACTCCGTTTTCCCCCTATAAACTCTTAGAAAAGTTTCCTCCCACTACCAGCCTCGGTGGTTGTTAAATATGGCCTCATCTTCAGACTTGCTTAAGTTTGTGTTTCTTTTCTGATAAGATTGTACCTGCTTTCAGGTCCCATCCTCTTCACTACAAACTTGAATAACCCTTTTACTTTAGCTGTCGGCCCATTGAACTAGGTAGAAGGTCACAACCTCGTTTTTGCTTTCCACTTTTAATTTTCTCTTTTAATTGGCTTATTGAGAAGGATGGCTAGACCTGGCATAGTCACAGGTTATAGCCCCTGAGTTTTGTAGCAATTACTGTCTCTGACCTCTTTGGTAAAAAGGGTCCCAATGAATACCAAAAACTTGATGGCATGGATTACCACATCCTTTTTAAACCTTTCCTATGTGTACCATGTGGAGTAAAATACTTGTCCAAGGCTCTTCCAAATCTGGTTAGTTTTGCTTTGCCGACTGCCATCCGGTCCTTGTAATGCTCAGAATCTGATACCGAATGATAGCTTTATTCCCAAGAAACAGTGAAATCTCAAGGCGGAACGTCCAGCACTTCTGGGATCGCTTTTCTTTCACGTGTGTCGTTTTTTTCCCTTCTGATGCCCTCGGGATACGTGTCACTTAGCGGAACTGGATTTTGCTGCCATCGTACAGTGTGCATGCTGGATGTCTTTTCTGTTGTAGTCAGTTACTGTATACTATTTCACTGGTACAACGTCTTCAGGTATTTACATGAACATATATCATCATGCTTCATGGCCCATGCTAGGCATTCAACTGCTGACTTGTTTAGTGAATAAATGGAAGGAATAAATAAAGGAAGATGTTGGGTCCAGAAAAGATTAATGAAAGGCGTTTCGGTAAATGGCATTTGTTGAAAGTGAGACACAGTAATCTGCCAATGAAAATGAGGCTTGAGCATGCTTCTTTATCAAACCATGTCTAGTGTCCCATGCTGAGGTGCACAGTGGAATACTGTAGCAAGAATGGCAAGGTGTAAGAGGAATAATTTGTTCTTTGTTGAGATACTTTTCCTTCCAGAATTCCTGTCCCTTGTGTACTCAATCTAGAGCTGGCAGGAAGTTCTGTTGGGTCTACCTGTCTTTGTGAGCCCTCATTCAAGCAGGTGTAAGTTTCCCTTTTCTTCCTCATCTGTTGCTTTTGGATGCTGGCCAGAACTCACATATGCTTTTTCTGGGACTTGGAGCTTTTTCGCTTTTTCTCTCAAGCTCCCCTCCCCACCATCTGGCTGCTGGTCCATCATGTAGTTGGCCTGTACTCCAGCATAACTGGAACATCTTTTTCTCCTCCTCTGGGCAACTACTGAGATTTACAGCTTGCCTACTCTGTGGATTTTCTTTGAACTCTCATACAGTTATCCTCCAGCTTCTGAGTTCATTCTTAGATTCTGTTACCAAGGAGATCAAGAACCACAGGAGGCGACCCTGCTTTCCCTGGAATCACTCTGCTGTGCCCTGGGAAGCCCACCTTTAAAGAAAACATCAACAAGCTCCCCCACTCTGTCTTCAGGTAACCTCAGTCAGTGAAGAATCCTAGGAGATAAGAGACAGAGCAGGAAAACACCAGGTTCTTAATGCTTGTAGCTAATCCTCTCTTTTGCTTCACCAGCATCAATTGTGACCCCCAGCCCAAGACCACAGCTCCCACATGCAGCCATATGGCTCTCCCTTTTTCTGGGCCCTAGAGCACCTGCATTCCACTTGTGGTTTCTCTGTACTTTAACCATACCTTAAAGACCCTTTATTCATCTCTCCTCAAATTACCCAGTTTGAGTGATCCATCTGTTTCCTGCTAAAACAATGATCCACCATACATATGATAAAATTTCCAAGAACTAAATACCAGACATGTGTTGTCAGTTGTCACAAAGCAATAATCATTTATTTATATTTTTAGAAAAGTCATTTACAGGTCATTACATATTTATAGGTGAACGAACCACCATTTTAAAATACAGGTTGAGAATATGAGATTAAAATAGCATGCAGATGTTTCTTGCATCTTTTGGGAGTGTGTGGACAGAGTCTAAAAGTGCAGTATTTGCTTCCCTAGCTACACCACTTTAGTCCAGTGGTTACTACCCACATGTGCTGTGTACACCACAGTGCTCCCTGTACCTGGGACTCCTGGCCACCCAGTCAGAGTTCATCAGCCTCAAGGAGACCATAGTCCTGCCTACCTCTGATGCAGGTTACCTACAAGTTCCTACCACCTCACTGATCCCTTTTATGAAGAAAAATGATTAAGACCTAAGATATATGGAGGAAATCAATGAAATATTCATTGTTTTCTAGTTGTGGAAAGGAAACCTATGTAAGAATAAGAAGCCAATGGCAGCAGAAATAAACCGGTGAGCTTTACATAAAAATGTCAGACTTCGATCAGCTTGATTTTGATGATATCTACCCAAAAAAACTATCCCATATTGTAGTTAAAACTTACCAATATATCATAATCACAAAAGTTAGGTTCTATCTACTTAGCCAAAATGAAATGGTATTGAGATAACTATCCAGAAAACTCAGGATTAATCAATCAATCAATCTCTCTCTCTCTCTTTCTCTGGGCAATGTCTTTATATGAAAATGCAAGTAAGAATTGACTGAAGCATTTCTGCTATTACTAAAAACAAACAGACCCACTTATATCAACATTACGTGCATCATACTGAAATGCTTGGGGTCAAACTATGTGAGTACAGACACAGAATAAAGGGAGAGTCCTAAATGTTTACCCTTAACTACATAAGCTGTTTATCAGTATTAACTTCTAACAAAGGAAAAACTATGTTAGAATGGCAACAGACCTTAGAATGCACCTCTGAGCTCCCTCATCTTATAAACAAGAAAACTGGATGCAGACAGGTTTAGCAACCTGCCAAGAGCCACAGAACTTCTCTGGGAATTCTTAATTTCACCATCAGTTTAGCCATTGGGCTGTGTGTGGCAGGCCTTTTCACACTCTTCACCCCATGTGTTTTCTCATTCTGTCTAATCACATGTAGAGAGAGAGAGATAGGGCACATATAGAGGTGACACTAGGATTCAGTGGCAGCCAATCAAAAGAAAAGTTTCCTATACTTTACCTTCTGTGCAATGAATAAGAATGGAACTGATGTGGACTGAGCACGAAGAACACTGGTTTTGTTTGCCATCTTTTATATCCATGTACTCAAAATCAGAAATAACCAAGAGAGTTGGCCTCATGAGTTTGTCTCAGGCTGTGTATGAATAGTTCAGATAGCAAAGATTGAGGAACACTGACCGGTGTTGGGCCCCAACCTTTTAATCCACAAATGAGACAGAATGATGAAGTCATCAGTGACTTCTGCTTCCATTCCACAAGCATAGACACAGTCTGAATTTGATGTCAGTGTCATATTTAGCATGGCAACAAACAGTGCTACTAAACAGAAAGTGGAATAAAGTTAATGCTGTTTATCAAATTACTTCTTACTTTTTTAGCAAGGAGAAACTTTTTTGGCAACTGGTTCTGTAGCTATAGAACAGGAAAACACTTGGAATCAACTTCCCCCGTATGAAAATGTTCCCAGATTATCAAGTTGAAGGCACATACCACTGCCTGAGCAGTTTAAGTTGTCTTTAACATATGAAACTGTAATTGTGCTTTTAGCTTTTATGCAATGCAATGTGACTTCTAAAAAGTGACCTCTGTGCATATGGATAACTCCTTTTCAAATGGATCAAAATTCTTCTTCTCTGATTTTCATATTCAGAGGGTATTTTATTAATTCTTTGTTTTATAAAAGACATAGTTGATGGTGGTCTCAGAAAGACATGTTTTACAGTTTGTGTTCTGCTTTGTCTGGAGAAAAAGTTTGAATTGTCATTTTTCTTGACACAAAAGGAATATTCTTCTGACATCGCGGCCACAGTGCCTGAAGTTGTCATTTCTTGAAATGCAAAAGTCTTGTATTATCTTTTCTTACTGGTTGTTTAAGGCTTACTTCACTTCCAGAAGAGATGATTGGCAAACTATTATCCATATGGTATTTGATAAGGTGGCCAACATTATCAAACACATGGTCCTTGGTCCTCACCTGGAAAAGGAAGCATAAATATATTTGGGGTGGATATTAGCAGTTCTTCTGAAAGATGTAAACAATTGTACATGTGTGGGGGGAGTGTATCCTAGAGTAGATATTTTGCAGAGTAAAGGGTTTTTTTATTATTCTATCCTCCTTAATAAACAAATTTATCGTTTTCCATTACCCTTTTACAGTAGTGTTCCTAAAAGTTCAGCCCTTGTCATTTAACCCAAGTCTATGATCAGCCTCTTTGCAGTGCTGTCGCTTGATAAGTTCTATCATGTCACCACTTCTGTGAATGTCTAGGTGATTTGTACAGACACATTACCAGGATTGCAGTTATCTTCCGGAGAATTACACCACATTACTCCATCTCTAACAAAAGCTGGCCCCTTGGAGAAGCCTGCCTCTCCCTAGAACTTCAACACAAACCCTGTCTCCTCCAAGAAAGTGCCTCAGATCTTCCCAACAGGCATTCGTATCATCTCCCCGCAAGCTTCATTAACAGTAGCTGACTCATAAATGTCTGTTCCATGGTATTTACTGTTTGAATTCTGAAGGAAATGGATCTGAGAATTTCCTGCTAGCATGGTCATGCACCTACCCTCTGCATGCTTTACTGTCTGCTGGGCTCCCAATAGCTTGGGGTCACAAGCAAGCTCCTGCGTGGAGAATAGTGCAAACTTCCAAGAAAGAGAAGGCCTGAAGCCAGCACACACCTACAAGGGATTCTGAGCTCTGCCTCACATTGGTTTCAGCATATTGGAATAACAGGCAGAATTTGGATATGGTCTATAAGTTAGATAATGATATCTATAATCGAGTTTCCTGATTTTGATTATTATACTAAAGCTATAAAAGAAAGTGTCTCTAGTTTTGTAAGCACACAAGACAAGGAAAAGGAGACAAGGACTTTAGTGCATTCTCTAAGGCTTCTGACCTTAGTGAAGTTTTTCTCTCTTCCTGCTCCATTTTAGCTGACTAATCCTGCTACACTCTTAATTCCAACTCATTCTGTCTCCTCTTCCTCCATGTTTCTCCAGGAATTCACAGTTCCCACCCTGAGGCACCAGTTCCTGTCCCCGTGTACCCCACACCTCCACTGTGCTTTCTCACAATCCTGCAGATGTTAACTTACCCTTCCTAGTACAGAGGTCACAACTAGCCACTTGGACAAATGTACCAGATGCCATTAAACCGGAAGTTCTGAAGTATTCTAACTTGAAAAGGAAGAGCGTGCACATAAAACTCTATCTGGCCCTACCGGCCCCTACTCTGCATGGCAGCTCCTGGGTATCATTGAGTGGTGACTGTTTTTTCAGTTTAGCAGAGTCAGCCACACCCTGTGTTCACCCCATTATTTACCCATTTCTACTTCCTCATATGCTTGTTGGGGCCCTGCAGCATTTGCATTTACAAACCCACCCACAAAAGTTTTTAAAACTTGTGTGAAGTATATAGTCCAATACTGTCAACTCCAACTACACTACTTTGAGAACCGCAGCCCATTTCCCCAGATGGTGGCAGCCATCAATCTACTTCATGTTCTTAGGAGTCTGGCTTCCTAAGTAAGGTACCTCATCTGAGTGGAATCATGTGACATTTGTACAGGGACTGGCTGGTTTTTACTTAAAAAAAAAAAATGCTCTCAGCATCCTTGAGAACATGACAGCATGTGACAAGCTGTCCTTCACATGGCTAAACAGCATCCCTCTGTATGTATACAGTGTGTCTTCTTTCTCCTTTCATCCGTGAACTTTGAAATTATTTCTACTTCTCTGCTGTTGGGATTGTCACTGTTTCAAGTACAAATGGAGCTCTCTTGAAGATGGTCATTTCCATTCCTCTAGACAACTGCCCAGAAATGAGGCTGTGACTTTGCACGCTGTTACATTTTTAAGTTTTTAAGCAACTTTCAAACTGTTTTCTGTGTTTAGGGTTGGATAACAGCAGGCTTAATAGACTTGAGGTGGTCACTCTCTGAGGTTTTGTTTTGCATTTCATGTTGATCAGAAATGTTGGGCACATTTTCGTCATCTGTCAATCAGCTGCGTGCCTTCCCTTCTCTACAGAAATGGCTCATCCTGAAGGGATGTTTTGTATTGTTTTGTCTTGAGCTGCAGGATTTCCTTGTGTGTTTTAGGTATCAAGACCATCAAAGTCATGGTTTGCAAGGTCTACCTCATTCTGTGGGTTGACTATTAATGTTGTAGTACAGAGTATGTAGTGTAGTGCAGACCCACTTCTCTGGGTTTGCTTTTTGATGTTTGAATTCTGGCAGTCTTTTTGTTGTTATTGTTGTTGGTTGTTTTGTTTGTTTGGTTGGTTGGTTGGCTGGCTGGTTGGTTGTTTTTTGCTTTTCAAGACATTGTTTCTCTATGTAATAGTCATTGCTGTCCTGGAACTCACGTTGTGGACCAGGCTGGCCTCAAACTCAGAAAGATCCTCCTGCCTCTGCCTCCCAAATGCTGAGATTAAATGTTTGTGCCACCATCACCTGGCTTCTGGCAATCTTATCGAACAGTTAATAAGACCATTGTTATGGAAGCACTCCCCTAGGCTTTCTCCTGAGAGTTTTGTAGTTTCACATCTTAAATTGAGTCTTTGACCCATTTTGAGTTAACTTCTTTTGTTAGGAGAGTAAGAATCCAGTTTCATCCCTCTTCAGTGTTCCATCAGCATTTGGAGAGCATCCTTTCTCCAGGGTTTGCCTTGAGAAGATTCAGTGATCTTCTTAAAGATCACTTGACTGCACACATGAATTGATTCCTTGGTCCATTGTACTGTCCCACTGGTCTAGTTATCTAACTTTATGTCAGCACTACTGTAGCTCTGTAATGTGTTTTGAGGTCTTCAACTTTATTATTCTTCCAAAACAAAGTGTTTTGGTTATTGAGACTTCTTGTTTCAGTTGACTGAAATTTGGGGGTTTCCTGTGTCTATAAAATGCCATGAGGAGCTTTATAAGAATTGTAATTGCGCGTGTAGATTGCTTAGAGTGGTGTGAACATTTTAATAATGCTCAGCCTTCTAACCCATGAAGGAGACACCTTTCCATTCATGTGCATCTTCTTTAGTTCCTTCCATCAGTGTTTTATAATTCTCCCTGCAGAAATACTTCATTGTTGTTTTATTGTCCTTTGGTTTTGACACAGAGTTTGAGACAGCCTTTCTTGTCCTGGAACTCGTTCTGTAGATCAGGCTGGCCTCAGACTCTCAGAGATCCGCCTGCTCTGCCTTCCGAGGAATTAAAGGTGTGTGCCACACCTTCCTGGCTGTATTTCTTCTTTTTGGCTGAGTTTATTCCTAAGTACCTTTTTTACTATTGATGCCATTATAAATGTAACTGTTTTCTTCATTTTCTTCTGGATAGTTGTCTTTTGTGTGTAACACAAATTTTTATGCAAAATTAATTTTTCATAAAAAATTGTTGTCTGCTGTGAATTCTTCCTATGTGGCATTTACTATGTCCTTACTATTACTATTTTTGTAATTTTACTGTTAATTTCTTTCTGTTTTCTTACATGTATATGCATTCACATGCACGCGCATGTGTGTTTCCATCATGAAAGGGTGTGGAATTCTGTCAAATGCCTTATCTACATTCATGGAAACAATCATGCAATTTTTAATCTTATTCCCATTTCTGATGGCTGATCTTGGTTGTCAACTTGACCACATCTGGAATCAGCTAAAACCCAAGCAGATGGGCATACCTGTGAGGAACTTTTTGACTGGGTCATTTGAGGGGAGAAGACCCACTCTATATGGCCTTAGTGTCCAGACAACACTCACCTCAAAAGATGAGTTCAACTGTCCCTTTCAGCATGAGCTTGAGAAAGGGTCAGGGCTCATTCTCTAGATATCAGGCATCATTCACCAGTAAAGCCACTTGGCCCAGAGCCTTTCTCTGGTGACAGAGTTTTGATTACTTAGTCCACCTTCCTAAAAATTTTATTATGTTTAGATTCTTCATTTCCTTGTGATTCAATCCAGGGGTGTGAGGTGGTTTTAGATGGCTGTCCATTTCTTCTAGTTTACCCAGTTCGTTGGCATATAGTTGAATATAGAAATCTTTTTTATCTTAATTACATGATACTCATTATAGTGTGTTTCCTATTTTATTTGTATCTTAGCTAAAAGTTTGTCAGTTTTCTTAATGCTTAAAAAAACCAGAATTCTTAGTGTGATAAAAATAAAATGTGTTCTATTCTTTATGTCACTGAACTCTGCATTGCTGTGGCTTGGCTATAGTCTTATTCACCTGCAGGAGTCTGCTACAACTACAGGTTTGTCCTACTGAGCTGAATTGAAAGGGGCAGAAGGAGGTTCTCCTCTATGTCATCTCCAGGGTGGCTTCTAGTTCTAACCACACCACTAGTAATAACCACACCACTAGTTCTGGCCGTACAGCTGAAGGAAAAGTAAAAGTTAGCCTTGACCTCTACTGACTACTATGTGTAGATACGAAGTACAACATGTAACACAGTCATACCTTGCCTTCAGGATCCACCAAGAGGAGGTGCTTCGCCTGGCCACCTTGTAGCCCACTCAACACATACTGGCCAGGAGATGTCATACTCTCTCGAACCAAAAAGTCCCCATCCTTCAGCAAAAGTCTCTCTGCTGCCCCCCTGCTCAGCCTGCCATGGAAGCATTCTTCATTCCACAGTTGCTGCTTAATGTGTGGCAAAGAGTGTGAGCTCATGGACTGGGCTGTGGCTCCTGGCTGTACAGTTTCTGGTGCCTCTAAAATTAAAACGCAAAAACAGAGATATCACAAATCCTCAGTCCATTCATCCTTCCTTCTGTATTCAAGGCACTGTTTAAACAACACTGTAGAACAAATGTCCTGCCTGGAAGGCTCTCTAACTTAAGAGGTGAGTTTAAACGCTGACATTGGCTTTTGTCACTAGGAAAAGTTACCAGGCACGAAAGTGCCTTCTTTAGTGGGGAGTGGGATCCGCCCCTGGGAACTGCTTCCACAACTGCACAGGGACGCTTCTTTCCCAGGGGCTTCACGCTTCTTTCCCAGGGGCTTCGTGTTACAAATGAAAAAGCTTATGCTCAACTTGGCTCATAAATAACTTTTACAATGTTTCTAAACTTTTTTAAAAGCTACAATGGAAATTTTAAATTATGCCCTTTTTAACATTTAGTTTTTATCATTTTTAAAATCATGTTTTGTTGTTGTTGTTGTTGTTTCTGAAGTCAGGATTTCTCTGTGTAACAGTTCTGGGTGTCCTAGAATTTGCTTTGTAGACCATTCTGGCCTCAAGCTCACAGAGATCAGCCTGCCTCCGCCTCCCCAATGCTGGGATTAGAGGCATGTGCCACCACTGCCCAGCTAGTTCTCATTTTTCTGCTAGTTTATAAATTGCTTAATTTATACATTTAGTGTACCTAGACATTCCTCTTAGCAAACATTTTAGCTTGGCATTGTTAAATGCCCCTGATGTGGTCAGTATCATTTACCTGTCTGAACTACAGAAGGGATGAAAAAGAAAGAAAGCACAGTATCAGTGGAGTTTGGCCTACAGCAGCTTCCCAGGGTCCTAAAGAAAATGTTGTCCCAAACTGGGAGCATTAGAAATGAGAACACAGGTGCATGAGGAGAACACAGGTGCATGAGGAGAACATGGGTGCATGAGGAGAACACAGGTGCATCGGGAGAACACAGGGGCATGGGGAGAACACAGGTGCATCAGGAGAACACAGGTGGATGAGGAGAACACAGGGGCATGGGGAGAACACAGGTGCATCAGGAGAATACAGGTGGATGGGGAGAACACAGTGCATGAGGAGAACACAGGTGCATGAGGTGAACACAGGTGCATGAGGAGAACATGGGTGCATGAGGAGAACACAGGTGCATCGGGAGAACACAGGGGCATGGGGAGAACACAGGTGCATCAGGAGAACACAGGTGCATGAGGAGAACATGGGTGCATGAGGAGAACACAGGTGCATCGGGAGAACACAGGGGCATGGGGAGAACACAGGTGCATCAGGAGAACACAGGTGGATGAGGAGAACACAGGGGCATGGGGAGAACACAGGTGCATCAGGAGAACACAGGTGGATGGGGAGAACACAGTGCATGAGGAGAACACAGGTGTATGAGGAGAACACAGGTGCATGAGGTGAACACAGGTGCATGAGGAGAACACAGGTGCAAGAGGAGAACACAGGTGCATCAGGAGAACACAGGTGCATCAGGAGAACACAAGTACATGAGGAGAACATGGGTGCATGAGAACACAGGTGCATCAGGAGAACACAGCACTGTTGAGGCTTATGGTGTTAATAATTATTGTACTATTATTTATTATGACAGGCACTTGTTAAAGGCTTTATATAATGTTATTTTATTTTCAAAATTAGGCAGGTCCCCAAATTGGATTTTGAGAATGACTGTTACTTATTCAAATCTACACTGTTAATGTTGTAGATGTGGAATTTGAAACAAGGACCATCTGACTCCAAAGCTTGAGTTTTTTAGTCAACAAATTCCAAGACACTGGTGTTGGATATAAAGATCTTTCCATTTTCCATATTTGTCTAGCTGCCCTATCTCCTAGTGCCCATAAAGGTCCCTAGGAACTAGCAATGCTGTCAGAACAATGGTGCACAACGTGTAGACATAGGCACACTTAGGAACCTAAGGCAGGGTAAGGTTAGCCTGGGCTATACGGCAAGTTTGAGACAAGCCTATACAACTCAATGAGACCTTGTCTCAAAGTAAAGTAATTGGCTCAGAGATCAAGAGCACTTGCTGCTCTTACAGAGGACCCTGAGTTCAGTTTCTCTGCCTCACAAGCTGACTCACAACTACTTGTAACTCTAGTTCCAAGGATCTGGCTCCATCGTCTGACCACCATGGGCACTACCAGCATGTGATGTACTTAAAGGGTGGGCATTTATACACACTCGTGTGTGTGTGTGTGTGTGTGTGTGTGTGTGTGTGTGTGTGTATGAAATAAACATTTTTAAATTTATCAAAATAACTATATCATTTTCTATGACTGAATTGTGGTTTAAAAAAAAGTCATATATTTAATGGCAAACGCACACAGAAAATAAGCCACAGAAACTAGCATTGTGTTTGAAATGCAAAGAATCTTTTGCATAGAAACAACTCTTCATTTTGCTAACACAAAGGAGCATTTACAGGCCCTAATGGAAGGGTCTCACCAAGAGAAATGCCTGGACACAAACTGTGCAACTGAAATTCCACTTTGCTGTAACATCATTGGTGTTGACAACCTGCAGAACCCTATAGATAGCCCAAGTCCCTTGTCAGTATGTTGGAGTGCTGCCCTACTTAAGAATGTCTATTTGCATATGACAGTTATAGTTAGCACCACAAACATATCTTGTAAAAAATCTTCAGTCTAAAACCAATGACTGGAAAGAATGCTCCCCCACAAATCATCATCTCTCCCATTATTGCCAGAAAGGGCAGGAGGAAATGTGTCCAGACAGTGACTAATACTTGTAGTTGGCCTTGATGCTGCCTGTTCTTGGATACAATGGAAAACTTCTAATAAGCAGTCCTGTGTGTGTGTGTGTGTGTGTGTGTGTGTGTGTGTGTGTGTGTGTGTGTGTCAGGGACAGGCTCCACAAGAGTGCCGAGCAATGTATGCAGGCATGCATCATATCAGGGGCATGCTCCACACAAGTGTGAAGCAATGCACACAGGTAGGCATCCTGAGGGTGCAGGCAGCTTTGCATGGTGTGCGCTTTTGTTTGTTCTGAGATTGTGGACAGCTTGTAGACAAGGACAAAACAAGGGAAAACAGACATTATATCATCTTGAAAAGAGTCGACAGTTCATGGGCCAGCCTGGGGATGCAGACAGTGTTTTCTAACACAGGTTCCCACTTAGGACAAGGACAAGACACAGAGTGCTGAGCAATTTCAAATGTTCTCTTAGCATCAAATTCCATTAGAAGCAAACTATGTAATAGATTTTCCAATTCGTTTTAACTTTAAAAGTTATATATGGCTGCTAGAGAGATGGTTCAGTGGTTAAGAGCACTGGCTGCTCTTCCAGAAGACCTGAGTTCAGTTTTCAGCACCCACATGGCAGCTCACAACTGTTGTAACTCCAGTTCCAGGGGACCCAACACCCTTACATAGACACATATGTAGGCAAACATCAAAGCAAATAAATCCTTTTTAAATTTATGCTAATTTGTTTTAGTTGGTCTCCTCACCAACTATCATAGCTCAGTGCTGTGGCACATTGTCACCTTGCTCCTAGTGCAGTTAAGATATGCAGCATGCAAGCTTGCTTATTCTGAAACAGAAGGGCAGCTGCAGAGGGGAGCACTCATTTTTAAAGATGGGCAGAGAGGTAAGTAGTAGGTACTCAGCAATTCATCAGCATGGAACGTAATCAGGAAACTGACAGCATCTGCAGTATTGGGTACAGTATTAGGGCTTGGAAGGAGGGCTTTTCATTTCTCAGTTACCCTGTTCTTTATTATTTGCATTCCACGAGTGTCTACATTGCTTTTGAATTTTAGAAATGTCTAATGAAGTGCATGCAAAAGTCAGGACAGTCCCGTAACTCAGGATACAGCTGGAAGGTGCAAACTTCGAGGAGACTATCAGGTTTGAGGGGTAATTTTCCATGTTCTAAAACTCACCCTACTGTCCCCTCAGCACGTGACCTCATGTCCTGTGGCAGAGAACTGAGAGTGTGGTCAGTTCTGGCCATTGGCAGTCATTATGCTCAGTAAGATGCTGTGATGTTGGAGCAGGGTAAACAAACCATCACTCTTACAGGAAACATGTGGTCTCCTTTCCAACAAGCTTTGGGCCACAACAGTCTCTTCAGTTAACCCACAGTCTTATTTTATGTGGGTTTTGAATTAAAGATACTTGATGTAGCATATTTTGTTAACACTGAACTTGCAGCCAATGGCACTATAATTCATACTTGATTGATGTTTTTTATAAACCTGTCTTTTCCCATGAGGGCACTTCACATTTTCTTTACTTAGAAAAACTACATATAACTTTAGTAACAATGCTTGGAAACTTTTAAACAGCAAAACCATCAAAAAACAAAGGCACAAAAATGTGGAGAAAAATGACATTAAATGTACCACAAAAGGACACTTAAGGTTTCTACTTTTTGGTTGATCTTCATTTTATGAGACAATTTGACTGGGTAGTCCAGGCTGTCCCCAAACTCATTATGTAACCCAGTATGGTCTTGAACTCTTGTGATCCCCAGCACAGCCTCCCAAATATAGGAGCTGTAGGTATACACCCAACACTTGGCATGAACAAGTGCTTAGAGCATAAAATCCAAAATGAGATGTCCATCTGATGAGGTCCCCAGCTGATGTCAGCCAGGATGTGTATGTTAGAAGACTGGGAGTCTTAGTGGGTCTGCATACATCTACAGATCACAACCAAAGACTGAGTACTGGTTTGAGGGCAGGACAAAATCTTGTGTTTTGGTTTTGTTTGTTTGTTTGTTTGTATTTTGAGGCAGGGTTTCTCTATGCAATAGCCCTAGTTACCCTGGAACTAGCTCTGTAGACCAGGATGGCCTTGAACACACAGCAATCTGCCTGCCTTTGACTCCTGAGTGCTGGGATTAAAGGCATGTACCACCACTAGGACCAAATCTTGTTGGGCAAGCACATCTCAGCTATAAACCTCTAAATACAGTGAACAGACACAAGATTTATGATAGGAATTTGCCAAATTGCTGAAAAGTAAACATTCAC